GTTCCAAAACGACATAACTCCGCGTGGAGATATGATGTTCCAAAACGACATAACTCCGCTTGGAGATATGACGTTCCAAAACGACATAACTCCGCGCGGAGATATGACGTTCCAAAACGATATAACTCCGCGCGGAGATATGACGTTCCAAAACGATATAACTCCGCGCGGAAATATGACGTTCCAAAACGACATAACTCCGCTTGGAGATATGACGTTCCAAAACGACATAACTCCGCGTGGAGATATGACGTTCCAAAACGACATAGCTCCGCTTGGAGATATGACGTTCCAAAACGACATAACTCCGCGCGGAGATATGACGTTCCAAAACGATATAACTCCGCGCGAAGATATGACGTTCCAAAACGACATAACTCCGCGTGGAGATATGACGTTCCAAAACGACATAACTCCGCGTGGAGATATGACGTTCTAAAACGACATAACTCCGCGTGGAGATATGACGTTCTAAAACGACATAACTCCGCGCGGAGATATGACGTTCCAAAACGACATAACTCCGCGTGGAGATATGACGTTCCAAAACGACATAACTCCGCGTGGAGATATGACGTTCTAAAACGACATAACTCCGCGCGGAGATATGACTTTGCAAAACGACATAACTCCGCGTGGAGATATGACGTTCCAAAACGACATAGCTCCGCGTGGAGATATGACGTTCCAAAACGACATAACTCCGCGCGGAGATATGACGTTCCAAAACGACATAACTCCGCGTGGAGATATGACGTTCCAAAACGACATAACTCCGCGCGGAGATATGACGTTCCAAAACGACATAACTCCGCGTGGAGTTATGACGTTCCAAAACGACATAACTCCGCGTGGAGTTATGACGTTCCAAAACGACATAACTCCGCGCGGAGATATGATGTTCCAAAACGACATAACTCCGCGCGGAGATATGACGTTCCAAAACGACATAACTCCGCGTGGAGATATGACGTTCCAAAACGGCATAACTCCGCGTGGAGATATGACGTTCCAAAATGACATAACTCCGCGAGGAGATATGACGTTCCAAAATGACATAACTCCGCGCGGAGATATGACGTTCCAAAACGACATAACTCCGCGTGGAGATATGACGTTCCAAAACAACATAACTCCGCGCGGAGATATGATGTTCCAAAACGATATAACTCCGCGTGGAGATATGACGTTCCAAATCATCTCGATTTTTTTCTAAATCGAGGTCAGCGCGAAAATCGAAACTTTTTCGATGATTTATATAATATATATTCTGAATTGGGAAGATAGGGACTTAAGGTTGGCAAATGGACATCATGATCAGCAAGGATACGGGCGATTTACAGCCTTTAATCTCTAAAGAGAAAATTCTCTTTTCAATGAATTTTTTCTGACGCAAAAAAAATTGTACGTCGACCTTCTGTGCATTTCTGTTCGCCTGGTATTTGAGTGGAGTTTTAGGGCAAATTTGGGGCGTAGCCGCCGACCAGGGCGCCCCGTGAGGGTATGCAATGAATTTTTTCGGACGCAAAAAAATTGTACGTCGACCTTCTGTGCATTTCTGTTCGCCTGGTATTTTTGCAGATTTTAAGAAAAATCTCGGCAGCCAGCGGTTGCCAACAAACGCCCCTCACGGCTATGCAATAGGTTTCTGAAGACCGTTGATTTTTGAATTTTTAAATAAAAATATGCAACCTGTTGATTTTTGGATAATTTTATTAATTATTTCTTTTAAAATTATACAAAACGAGAATAAACTATACTTTTTGCTTATTTTAACTTAAAATAGTTATATCTGGCTTAATTTATGTCCGATCCTGGAAAAATTGGCTTTGTCAGTCGCGGAGGTCCTTAGAGCTCATTGTAATCCTTGCTTTATCAGTCTGAAAAGATAAAACACATTGAAATTAAACAAGTAAATAAATATATACAGACATTTTATTCAAGGAAAACAGGACATAACTCGGGCATGTCCTTACAGATTTTCAAAGGACATGGTGCGCGAGGATCGTATAGACCCCCTGCATCGAACTGCATCATAAAAATATGGGGTCATCTAAGAATCCCAGGACTTGTATTTTGACTTGTAAAATTTCAGCCGCGGAGCGCACGGAAATGACCCGAAAACACAAATCCTTAAATATCTCCGAAACTACCAGGACGGTCTTAGTGAAATTTGGCCAGGTGGAAGTCCTCGTCAATACAATTATTTTCAAATATGACTCGCCAGGATACGCAAGGATATGCTCGAGTTATGGCTTATTTTCTTCAAACAAAATCGTCCTTTAAACTTTTTTGTTTGAAGGACTTTCGTCCTTTGGATTGTATATTCTTCAATCGGATGGCGAGGACTAACTGCTGGCCAAAGGACATCCTTATAGTCCTTCAGATGGCAAAGTTAGCCCGGATATTTTCGACTTTGGTCAATTTTGCGACTAACCCCCTAGGATAAATTTCGATAAAATTTTTTGTCGAATTCTGAAAATCCTTGAATGCCAATCGATAGTCCCGCTCACCACGAGTTTAAAAAGGCATATCCTTCTGCTATCCTTAAGGATTTGGCCGAGCTATGACTAATTGAAAAATGTCCTTTTTAGAAAATTGGCCATATTACGGAAACGGAAAGGACGATTTTGTTGTCCTTTGGACAGTTAATGATCCTTGTTCATACGATTTGTTTAACAGAGGACTTGTCAGGATCCGCAAGAATTCGGCCGAGTTATGGCTTTATTAATTTACGAACGAATTTAACTCATATCTATACATAAATCTCCGATCGGAGATATGACGTTCCAAAACGATATAACTCCGCGCGGAGATATGACGTTCCAAAACGACATAACTCCGCGCGGAGATATGACGATCCAAAACGACATAGCTCCGCGTGGAGATATGATGTTCTAAAACGACATAACTCCGCGCGGAGATATGACGTTCCAAAACGACATAACTCCGCGTGGAGATATGACGTTCCAAAACGACATAACTCCGCACGGAGATATGACGTTCCAAAACGACATAACTCCGCGTGGAGATATGACGTTCCGAAACGACATAACTCCGCGCCGAGATATGACGTTCCAAAACGATATAACTCCGCGCGGAGATATGACGTTCCAAATCATCTCGATTTTTTTCTAAATCGAGGTCAGTGCGAAAATCGAAACTTTTTCGATGATTTTTTTTTAATATCTCGGGTAAGTAATGTCTGATTTTAAAATGTTATACCTCTACGGATCCCTACCATCAATTGGCATTCAAACAAATTAAACATCGATGAGTTCAAAAATATTAAAAACAAAAAAACCATTAGTTCGTAAAGTCAACCTTTTTGATGATATTTTGGAATATTTCTCTCAAATAATGTCCGGTTTTACAATTTCATACCATTTTTGACTCGTAAGGATCAGTTCTATCGATTGGCATAAAAAAAAAATCCAAAATTTTGACCGAAATCGACAAAATTGCAAGGGTAACATCACGATTGTTTTTCAAAATCGAGGTCGGTGCGAAAATCGAAATGTCGTTTTGGAACGTCAAACGACATAGCTCCGCGCGGAGATATGACGTTCCAAAACGACATAACTCCGCGTGGTGATATGACGTTCTAAAACGACATAGCTCCGCGCGGAGATATGACGTTCTAAAACGACATAACTCCGCGCGGAGATATGACATTCCAAAACGACATAACTCCGCGCGGTGATACGACGTTCCAAAACGACATAACTCCGCGCTGTGATATGACGTTCTAAAACGACATAACTCCGCGCGGAGATATGACATTCCAAAACGACATAACTCCGCGCGGTGATATGACGTTCCAAAACGACATAACTCCGCGTGGTGATATGACGTTCTAAAACGACATAACTCCGCGCGGAGATATGACATTCCAAAACGACATAACTCCGCGCGGTGATACGACGTTCCAAAACGACATAACTCCGCGCTGTGATATGACGTTCCAAAACGACATAACTCCGCGTGGTGATATGACGTTCTAAAACGACATAGCTCCGCGCGGAGATATGACGTTCTAAAACGACATAACTCCGCGCGGAGATATGACGTTCCAAAACGACATAACTCCGCGCGGTGATACGACGTTCCAAAACGACATAACTCCGCGCTGTGATATGACGTTCTAAAACGACATAACTCCGCGCGGAGATATGACATTCCAAAACGACATAACTCCGCGCGGTGATATGACGTTCCAAAACGACATAACTCCGCGCGGAGATATGACGTTCCAAAACGATATAACTCCGCGCGGAGATATGACGTTCCAAAACGATATAACTCCGCGCGGAGATATGACGTTCCAAAACGACATAACTCCGCGTGGAGATATGACGTTCTAAAACGACATAACTCCGCGCGGAGATATGACGTTCCAAAACGACATAACTCCGCGCAGAGATATGACGTTCCAAAACGATATAACTCCGCGCGGAGATATGACGTTCCAAATCATCTCGATTTTTTTCTAAATCGAGGTCAGTGCGAAAATCGAAACTTTTTCGATGATTTATATAATATATATTCTGAATTGGGAAGATAGGGACTTACGGTTGGCAAATGGACATCATGATCAGCAAGGATACGGCCGATTTACAGCCTTTAATCTCTAAAGAGAAAATTCTCTTTTCCGCAGCTCCTTGAAGGATTTTCGTCCTTTTTACTGCGTATTCTAAGTTGGCAGGACAAGGACTAAATGTTTTCCAAAGTATATCAAAATGGTCCTTAGGGTGGCCAATTAGAAACCATAAGGACGATTTTGATGTTCTTTGGGCAGATAGTAGTGCTTATCCAAACGTGGTTTTTGAATCGCCAGGAGAAAAACATCAAACAATATTTTTCTCGATCTTCTGGACATTTCTGTTTACATGGTATTTTGGTAGATTGGCAGAAATGCTTAATTTTAAAATGGACATTAAACGATCAACAAAATTGGATCCACCTGCTCGGAGGCCAGGCTTCAATCATTACGCATATGCTTATATCTTATTATCTATATTTTAGCTTATACTGTAAATTTTAAAACTTGAATTAGGGTTAAAAATAATTTTAAAATCAACCAGACGATCGCAGCTGCGAAGTTTCCTCGTTCAGGTGACTGCTGGTCTACGACCCTTTTTGGATTTCAGCTATAAGTCGGGAAACGAGCTCGCAGCATGCCTTCTGCCTGTTTTTGGCTACAGCCATGACTTCCTCGTGGTTGGCCTCGTCGTCCTTCTTGTCGCTGTACTCGATGGAACACTTGTTGGTTATTAAACTGAAAGCGAACACTTTCATATCACAGTGGCGAGCTGTAATGACCTCGTGCACCGTGGACATGCCCACTGCATCAACACCCATCATGCGGAGTGCCTTTAATTCGGCTATGGTCTCGTAGGTTGGTCCTCCAAGGCAAGAGTAAACACCAACATGTATATTTGACTCAATTCCCATTATTTTACTAATCTCAATCGCCTTGTTGATAAGGTCCCTATTATACGAGTTGACCAGAGCGGGAAAACGGGGCCCAAAGCGTGGATCGTTGGGTCCCTGCAGGGGAGAATTGCCAGCGAAGCCCAGCATGTTGACATGATCATGCATGAGCATAATGTCGCCAACCGCATACTTAGGATTTATACCGCCCGCCGCATTTGTAGCAAAAAGATACTCTACGCCACAGAGCTTCATCACGCGCACTGGCATAGAGCATTTGGCCAGGGGGTAGCCCTCGTAGAAATGAAAGCGCCCCTGCATGGCCATGACATTAGCGCCCTCCAGTGTACCGACGACTAGTCTGCCTGCATGTCCCTCGACTGTCGATACAGGGAAGTTTGGGATCTTTTCATACTCGAAGACCTTGGCATCCTGAATAATATCGGCAAGGGAGCCGAGCCCAGATCCGCAAATAATGCCAATCTTTGGTCTTATGCCTGAGCCCTTCACAATAAAGTCGGCGATCTCCTGAATGACCTCATAGGGATACCTGAAAATGTTATAAAAATAATATTAGAATGAAAAATATTTAATATGAATTATTATAGCCACAGGACAGTACATTAAAATATGTCTGTTTGGCACAGCGAGAGTCGGTGAATTAGAACGTCTTTTCAAGTTTGCATAAATCTTGTCGATAAAAATACAAATTAAAATAGCATTGATGGAATACAAGTTTGTGAAGTAAAACACGGTGTGATAGTGCAAGTACGCTAAGTACAATTACAAGAACGAATCTACGCCCGGGTGGTGCACAGACATACAGACAAACGAACTGGGACAAGCACAGCAAAAGTAACATAGTCTACAAACGTGTCTTCATTCATTACGCGCACAGCGCGAAACTCTTCGGGCGTAAGGGAGCATTGTATACGGTTGTCGCTCCTGCTGTAAATGTTTGAAAATTGTAGATTTTAATTGTAAATTTTGTTAAGATAATTAATTAAATTAAATAAATATAAAATGGTGTAAAATAAAGTGATTCACTTCCTCAAAGTCACCGCAAGTATTGTAATTGACGTCATATGACTATCTCCCAATCAAGCATTATCGCAAGTAATAATATACTGAAATCTAGAGAGGTGTCATCACCATTGTGAGGCGCTGGGTGAATATTGAATATACAAAAACGAGATCTACGAATCGGAGAGCAAGCATGTAAAATTTCAACAAGAAAATTATAATACCTAATTTGTTAGTTCGTTGAAGCTGAAATTGTTTAATAAAGATTTGAAACCGGCTATGCAAAACCGTCGAATATATTAGAATATCCAGGCTATATGTTCAAATGTTTCAGTTAATTATTTGGAATCATAGAAGTATAAAAGCTTTGCACCAACCAGTTTCAAAATAAATCCGAAAAGAAACGACACATGGCTTTATCAGCAGATGTCGATTTGTAACTACAAATTTGTTGCTTAGCTGTTTTATGCCTAAACGTATAAAAATAAATAATTCCAGATAAAGGCCTATGTCAAGATCGCGGAACACGCCCATTTTGGCTAGCCAATCATGAGCGACTAAGTAAACCTAGTTAACTGGGTCAACACGTTACATGCGCAATTGGCAAACAAACAAACACGCAAAGCGTGTTTATCAGCAGCTACATGAAGCTGGGGCTATAGTTGGGGATTCGACCGGATCGCCTGGGGCCATTAGCATTTCTTGGCATAAGAATTATCAGCGTCAAGTAGCTCTCGTAATCTCCCATACAGCTCAAAAATGACACGACGGCTTTTTTATGGAACATTTCGATTTAATGAGCGATCGAGCGCTACTCAAATTGATAACCCTACTGTGTATTCTGGAATGTCTTATACTTATGCTTGGCTTTAGCGACAATCTGTCAACTCCCAATATCAGCAGCAAGATCAAGGACAGTCCAATAGAATATATTTAAATATACAAAAGAAGAATATACACTTACAGCTGGCTCTGAGCTGTTGGCACTATAGTTGAATCAGCTGGATCATTAATAGCCGATTTATCACCAGCCTTGCCCCTAGGATTTGAGCAGCAATCGCGACTACACATTGTGAAAATTTAGATCGAAATAGATAGTTTTGTTTAAATTTTGCTAAGAAAATGCATGCTTACTGCTTACTCAAGCAAACGCAACTAGATGCCTGATTTAAAACTTAAAATCTTATCGAAGTTAATTTCTGCCCGTTCGTTCATAAACTTACAGCAAACTTTGAGGCGTGGGTACTATTATCTCGACATCAGTTTTGCCATTCTTCTTGTCGGCACAGGCAGTGCCCTTGGCATTGCTGGGACCACCCTTGCCCGAGCAGCAATCACGAGAGCACATTCTGCTGTTTACGAGTTTCTTGCTGTACAGAAACCAGATGGGCCGAGATATAGTCAAACTGAGAGTCATATACTTTTTGTTAAAATTTTATACCCAGTCCCGAACGGTTATGCCATGAAAAAACAATTTTGTATAATAGTCGCATTTATAAACGAACCAGGACACAAATAAGGCAAGGCCTACTAACTAGCACAAGGGCCGTAAACTAAATCGATACATATCGATTTTGGAAAATGGTGACTATGACAAGAAATAAATACCCACAACTATAATGACAAGAACTATAAAAAGCTATCAATTATTGTTCATTCTTGACGGCATGTAACTTAAATATCCAAGCGTTCTATTGTTTTTTTTTATTTATTGGTGTTTTTTTTTTTGGTTTTGTTTCGCCCCACAGCCTGGGGCTGGGAACTTACGTGTGGTTCTCCTGCGCGGTATATTCGGCGACCTTGTGTCCATTGCTGTGTCCGCTGCTGTTGTTGTGATTTCCATTGCTGGTGGCCACGTCGCCTTTGGAATTATAGCCAGTCATATTGTATTGCTCTTCCTTTCGAAGTTTGAGTTAATTGTCAATTGGAAAATGTTATATAACTTTGCACAGGTTGGGTTGTGTTCACAATAGTATGTAAATACCGAGATGAACTTTCACAATGGTTTAGCTTACTAATCAGTTCGCAGATTTGATAATAAACAAATCAAAGTTAATTTAAATCCAACAGACTGGAATTTCCTTTATAATCTCGTTATTGTTGCGATCCGCTTTTAAGTTCTCCTTTATGGTAATTACTTGTTTCGCGTTTCAATTTCTAGCTTTTCAGTTGCCTCCGCGAGTGTACTTTGATAATTGAGCCGCGTCGTCAGCGTTGTTTCCACTTTTAAACAGCAGGCAGGCAGCTGGCGTGTCGCTGACGTTGACGCTGACAGCGACGACGACGTCGATGTCGCAGCGCTGCGCTGCTTCTGTGTGCGACTCAGCCAGCGTTTATTGTTCAATATTCAATTTAGGATCCGAGCTGCGCTTATTGTTGTTGGCGTTTCATCGACGTCAGTTATACAAACCGGAATCGAAGCTCTTAACTGATTCAATTGAGCTAAATTTAATACATTTATAAAAAAAAAACAAAACACAAAATAAACTAAATTTTAAATTAAAATAAAAAATAGCTAAAACAGGCCTCCGATTTGATAACAAACACAATAAACGTAATTAATTTCCCGAAATTGCTTCCCTAATATCACCAATTAAAAGTTGCCCACATGTGTGTTGACTATTAGACAAAGATTGTGTTATCTAATGATAATATTAAATTGTATTACTTATTGCAACATTACAACAGTTTTAAATATTTTATTTTAAATATATTGTGAAACAGGAAAGTTAATTTCCTGATTGCAACCTTACTTAGGTAAGCCCAAAAAATTTTAAAAGGTCCAGGCTTTGTCAGAGCTTATTAAAAAAATTCGATAAGCTCAATACATATTGCGTGATTCTTAGTGTTTTTCAAAATTTTCAAACATGCCGCGCGTTGAATATTTTGTTGTTATTATTTTTGAGCTTATCAAAAGCTGTGCTTCATAACAAGGCGAATATTTTTACTGAATGCTCAAATCATCCGATTCGTTGATAAGCTTGAACAGTGAAAGCTCATATGTAAACGCAACTGCAATTTATATTACCTGGCAACAACTGTTAGCAAAATATTTTCACGTACATTTCTGACAAGCTTAGAAACCGTCTACCATTAAGAAAACTGCAATAATAATACAATTGCCATGACAAATACTGACTGAAATTTTCTGGCTTATCAGGCCCAGCTCGAGGGAGGTATACGTCAGCGAGATTAATATATTTTTATGCCCCAAGCGATTTACAACTCAAGTAAACAACTTTTTTTTGCTTTGTGCAGACCTCATTAGATTCAAGTAAATTTCTTGTAATAAAACGATGTATTCTGAAAAACTATGGCAATAACTATAATTTCTTTAAATAAATATTATTAACGTCAATTATACTATTATTTTTCCAGTTTTAAATTTTAATCAAAGAAATTGCTAATAAGTAAAAACAAATGAAAGCATATTTCAAACAGGTTCGCTTTGAATTTCCCGCACAAACTAAAATCTGATCTTTGAATAAGCAGTAGGTAGTCAGATGAGCATGGAAAATTTCCAGCTGATAAGAAAAAATTCCGTTCACATGGAATATTCAAGAACGGGGCTGTTTTATGATAAAGAAAACGAGAAAACTCGAAGAAAATTGTTGCGCATTTTTCTTGTTTTTGTTTGTTTTTTGTTACTGATGTAAAAAATCTTTTCACACGTCAGACATAGGCATAGTAACAAATGCAGACAGATAACAGCAGCTGATAAGAGAATCATGAGTTATCAATCATCTTTGACTGCCTCTAGATGAACATTTTTGGTCTTAAGTTTGACGTTTATATTATTTTCTGCTTTGGGTATAAATCGTTAGCTCATAAGCAAGACATACTTATATATTATATTATATTCAATTTTTAATGATTTTCAACTCTTTTGATTAAATATAGTTTTATTGGATACGATTTCTTTTTGTGCTTTAACTGTTTTTGCATTGATATTGCGAAATTGTTAAGCTCATTCATAGTTTAAATCAGAAATAAGTAAGAGGTTCTAGTCGGGTGCTCCCGACTAGGGGATACCATGAACCCTCTTCTTCCAACATCAAATGCATACATATATTCTATTTTAGAAGCTATATGTCAAGTTTGATGACTCTAGCTCTTCTTATTTACCAAAATTCCCCAAAAAACAGGATATCAATTTTTTCAATTGCTTGGAAACGGAGTAAGTTATCAAAGATCGGAAACAAACTCGATTTGCGCAGGCACTAGGAGCACATACATCTAAAATTTTAGTCTCTAGCTCTTATAGGTTCTGAGATTCTTGCGTTCATGCATACGGACGGAAGGACGGCAGGACAGACGGACATGGCTAGATCGTCTCGGCTATGATCAGCATCAAGAATATATATACTTTATGGGGTCGGAGATGCTTCCTTCTGCCTGTTACATACATTTGGATTTTGCACAAAAACAATATACCCTTATGCACATTTTTAATGGGTTCAGGGTATAATCATCGAAAAAGTTTCGATGTTTGCACCGACCTCTATTTTGAAAAAAAAAAATGTCGTTTTGGAACGTCATATCTCCGCGCGAAGCTATTACCCGAGATATTAAAAAAAAATCACCGAAAAAGTTTCGATGTTTGCACCGACCTCTATTTTGAAAAAAAAAAAAAAAACGTGATGATTTGGAAGGTCATATCTCCGCGCGGAGTTATGTCGTTCCAAAACGACATTTTTTTTTTTTCAAAATAGAGGTCGGTGCAAACATCGAAACTTTTTCGATGATTATACCCTGAACCCATTAAAAATGTGCATAAGGGTATATATATATATATAACGTCATATCGCCGCGCGAAGCTATTACCCGAGATATTAAAAAAAAATCATCGAAAAAGTTTCGATTTTCGCACCGACTTCGATTTTGAACACAAAACGTGAAAACCCCTTGCCATTTTGTAGATTTGGGTCAAAATTTTGGATTTCCTTTTTTTGATGCCAATCGATAGAACTCATCCTTACGAGTCAAAAATGGTAAAAAATTCCAAATTCGGACATTATTTGACGGAAATATTCCGAAAAATCATCAAAAAGGTTTACTTGACGAACGAATCGGTTTTTTGTCTATGTCGATTTGGGTCAAAATTTTGGATTTCCTTTTTTTGATGCCAATCGATAGAACTCATCCTTACGAGTCAAAAATGGTATAAAATTCCAAATTCGGACATTATTTGACGGAAATATTCCGAAAAATCATCAAAAAGGTTTACTTGACGAACGAATCGGTTTTTTGTCTACAACTTTTTTTTTAACAAAACGATGTTTAATTTGCTTGCATGATGGTAGGGATCCGTACGCATTCAAACATGTATATTATTTTAAAATCAGACATTATTTACCCGAAATATTAAAAAAAATCATCGAAAGAGTTTCGATTTTCGCACCGACCTCGATTTTGAAAAAAAAACGTGATGATTTGAAAGGTCATATCTCCGCGCAGAAGTATGTCGTTTTGGAAAATCATATATCCGCGCGGAGCTATTACCCCAGATATTAAAAAAAAAAATCATCGAAAAAGTTTCGATTTTCGCACCGACCTAGATTTTGACGCAAATATTTCAAAAAATCATCAAAAAGGTTGACTACGAACGAATCGTAGTTTTGTCAACAACATTTTTCAACCCATCGATGTTTAATTTGCTCGAATGCCAATTGATGATAGGGATCCGTACACTTTCAAAAAGGTATAACATTTTAAAATGAGACATTATTTACCCGAGATATTAAAAAAAAATCATCGAAAAAGTTTCGATTATCGCAAAAACCTCGATTTTGAAAAACAACATGATGATTTTATCGCGGGAGTTTTGTCGTTTTGGAACGTCATATCTCCGCGCGGAGTTATGTCGTTTTGGAACGTCATATCTCCGCGCGGAGTTATGTCGTTTTGGAACGTCATATCTCCGCGCGGAGTTATGTCGTTTTGGAACGTCATATCTCCGCGCGGAGTTATGTCGTTTTGGAACGTCATATCTCCGCGCGGAGTTATGTCGTTTTGGAACGTCATATCTCCGCGCGGAGTTATGTCGTTTTGGAACGTCATATCTCCGCGCGGAGTTATGTCGTTTTGGAACGTCATATCTCCGCGCAGAGTTATGTTGTTTTGGAACGTCATATCTCCGCGCGGAGTTATATCGTTTTGGAACGTCATATCTCCGCGCGGAGTTATGTCGTTTTGGAACGTCATATCTCCGCGCGGAGTTATGTCGTTTTGGAACGCCATATCTCCGGGCGGAGTTATGTCGTTTTGGAACGTCATATCTCCGGGCGGAGTTATGTCGTTTTGGAACGTCATATCTCCGCGCGGAGTTATGTCGTTTTGGAACGTCATATCTCCGCGCGGAGTTATGTCGTTTTGGAACGTCATATCTGCGCGCGGAGTTATGTCGTTTTGGAACGTCATATCTTCGCGCAAAGTTATGTTGTTTTGGAACGTCATATCTCCGCGCAGAGTTATGTTGTTTTGGAACGTCATATCTCCGCGCGGAGTTATGTCGTTTTGGAACGTCATATCTCCGCGCGGAGTTATGTCGTTTTGGAACGTCATATCTCCGCGCGGAGTTATGTCGTTTTGGAACGTCATATCTCCGCGCGGAGTTATGTCGTTTTGGAACGTCATATCTCCGCGCGGAGTTATGCCGTTTTGGAACGTCATATCTCCGCGCGGAGTTATGTCGTTTTGGAACGTCATATCTCCGCGCGGAGTTATGTCGTTTTAGAACGTCATATCTCCGCGCGGAGTTATGTCGTTTTGGAACGACATATCTCCGCGCGGAGTTATGTCGGTGTAGAACGTCATATCTCCGCGCGGAGTTATGTCGGTGTAGATCGTCATATCTCCGCGCGGAGTTATGTCGTTTTAGAACGTCATATCTCCGCGCGGAGTTATGTCGTTTTGGAGCGCCATATCTCCGCGCGGAGCTATTACCCGAAATATTACAAAAAAATCATCGAAAAAGTTTCGATTTTCGCACCGACCTAGATTTTGACGGAAATATTTCAAAAAATCATCAAAAAGGTTGACTACGAACGAATCGTATTTTTGTCAACAACATTTTTCAACCCATCGATGTTTAATTTGCTCGAATGCCAATTGATGATAGGGATCCGTACGCATTCAAAAAGGTATAACATTTTAAAATCAGACATTATTTACCCAGGGATTTAAAAAAAAATCATCGGAAAGTTTCGATTTTTAATAAAACAGCCGTGGTCTTATTTAAATGTGTTGCGTGATATTGGGAAGAAAATAACGGTAAGAAATTGTATTGAAAAATCGGATTAAGAATCCAATAAAAATAGACATTGAGCAAAAGCACGAGAGCGAAACAAATTTTAAATTAAACATTTAAACTAAGAATAACATTTCAATAAGTATTATGTTATACATATATTTTATATGTCAACAAGATGTATGTTACAAAAGTAAATGTAAAAATAAAGTGCAGTCACGCGAAAACATAAAGTTAGATATACGCAAGCACACACACATACATATAAAGGGGTAGGGTAAGATCTTTGCTCTCTATGTTTATCCTGACATGCTTGCGTGTCCGATGTTATGATTTTATTGATCTATTCACGATCGATTATCTTATCTGTCAACCACATTGATTATATCTTGAGACTTAAGTACTTAAGTGGCTTGCAAAACATTTTATTAAGCAAATACGATTAGTTTAGAAAACTTTGTCTTGGCAAATACAATGCAATTGCAGCGATTACAATATTGTAAGCTAGTCTTAAAATTGCACAAGGTTATAGAAAACAAAGAACCACAAGATATATTGTTTAATTATGGTTCTGTTGCCTTTTGCAATTAATTTAAATATTACATATATATATTTTTAGATATATTATTAGCATTTTTATGGTTAAACGTGTGTTTTTTTTTTATATTTTATTATTTTTTATATTTAGTTGAAGCAGCTGTTGAAGGTCGCTTCAAGTCTGTTCAGCTAATTCCTTAAATGTGCTACTCGTAAGACTTTTCGTGTTTCATTTTCAATTCAATTATTCCATGGGTTTTACTTCAAACTCATTTTTTATCGTTTTCCTTTGCTTTTAATTGCATAAAGTATTTCTCTCGTTTTCTATTAATAATTCATAAAAATCAGTCAGTCCAACGCTCTCTCTTGTTAGCTTTGTTTTCCTTCTCTGTGTTGGGTGTTGGTGTGTGCTTCAGCTTTGATTCGGATAATTTAAATTGCGATTTTCAACTTGTAGGGTTTAGATATAGATTGCCCAATTAAAGTAGCTTTCTATATAGGCATTTACCTTCCCTGACCACATCGTGCTTCCTTTTGATTAATAGAATAATTCATAAATACGTCTATGCTGCATTAGATTCAATAAGTTAAAATGTTGTACGTATTATAGATGTCTGTTGTACAAATAAAATACGTTTACTCTTATAAGTTATTTTATAAGATAAATAACTATGTAATACATAATATGTTAATGGTATATTTCTATAAATATATATTTAAACGCATTGGATGTGGTATGCATAGATCTTATGAGTCCTTAGTATGCATATATGGTTTGGTTTTTGGCTACTTTGTTGCTTAAAATCTAGAATTCAACTACTTTTTTTTGGCTGCCTTCTTTTCAGCCTTGCGTATGGCCTTTTCGCGTTCGCGACGCTCGCGTTCCATGTCCTTGCGCTCCTTTTCGATGCTGGCCTTCAGGTCCTTTAGTCGTTTTTTCAAACGATTTTTGTCATCACCGCAAACGCCCAAAGTTTTAAAGTCCTTCGAGTCAAGAGTAAGCAAAGCGCCGCCTTCCACGTTGTGTTCTTTGAAGACAGGTATATAGCGCTCCAGCTCAATGCCCATCAACCAGTGGCCCACCTGTGCAGTCCAATTTGTTGTTTATTTCGTTGATATATTTGACAAACCCTGTAGATTCTCTCGGTTATAAGTTTACCTGCTCCTTGGTCCATTCGTGCACGGGGCCTCCTTTATAATTGTAGCAGGCGACAGCCGCTTTTTTATCCGAAAAACTAGAACTAGAGCCGGACAGATCCAGGGTCCGGCTAGGCGAGTATCCGGGCGAGGAGCAGCCTGAAGACATGCTAGTCGGTGATGGCGGTCCGGTCACATGCGCTGATTGCTGTTGTTGATGCTGCTGAAAATGCTGCTGTTGCCAGGGCACTGTACCGGGCGGGGAGAGCGATTGCGGAACAACTTGTTTTACTTTAGAGGAATTACAGTGTTAATAGTTAGTCGAAGCAGCAAGAGAGCAAGGAAAAGAGAGGAGAGAAAAATATAAAGAATTGTGTTATTACTAATTTGATGTCATGTTGTATGCACCATATGAACAGAGTGACAGAAAGAGAGCGTGAATTATATGTATGGATATAACACGACGTGTACTAATTTAGTAATATTACTAAGGGATTCAGTAAATGGAATGGCACACGCATTAACGTTCAATACAACAGTATACAGTTGAGTACAACAGTAGTTGATCATATTAGCTTTGTATGTATAACAATATATTTATAATGTCTTTATGTGCACATGAATCGATGGCGCTTATGAAAGAAGTCTTTGATAACGGAGAGAGAATTTGAGTTAGTCTTTTAGAGGATTATCAACGATTCCTCGTTGAAACCGGTTGCAAGTCATTTGTTTTTTGAATAGTTCACCTTTTGGCTGTGCTTCATTGACCGCCTGGCGAATCTCGTTGATTAGCGTCTTGCAGTTAACCGCTGCGGCACTTTGGCTCTTGTTGATCTCTGTGTAATCATCGCTGGAGTGGCGCGAGGAGCCGTCTCCAAGACGTCTGCAAAATTCCGAACGTATAACATTTTGTTTAGCTGTGTGCTGTGTATGTGTGTGATGTCACCCACCTCTCACGATCGGACAGTGCTTGATTGAGCTGCTCAGTGAAAGTGGAGCCCGGCAGCTTGCTGCCATTGGGCGCAACACGACGCCGGCTCGGATACATCCAGTTCTCGCTTTGATCGTTCTCTGCTAACTTATCATTGGAGCCCACTATAGAGTCGTATGAGCTGTTGAGATCGCGATTGCTAGCACTGCCGCCACTGGCAGTGCCAAAGGTTGTCATGCTTCCGCGATGAAAGTCGTTCAATCCTCCCCCAGTCTCTGCCGGCGAGCCCACCGCATTCTTAAACAAACTGGTTGCCTGATGCTGTTGTTGCTGTTGCTTGCTGGGATCCTTGTGCACCTGAGCGTAGAGCTGATTGATTTGAGCTTCGCGTGCCGTGGACTGATTTGATGAACTGGAAGAAGCTGACGACGTCGAGTTAAGCAGTATGGCCGTTGTGGTCCCTACATGTCCATTGCCGGCTGCCACAATGCTGCTACCAATAGGCGTATTTGTCGCAGGTGGATGATTCTGCAGCAAGTTGTTCACGTTGGCCAGCAGGTGGGTGTTGCCATTGGATAGATTAATGCCATCATGACAGGAAGACACACTCGTAGCCAAATTGAGTGCACTCTGCTCCAATTCCACCTCCTCCTCACTGTCATCCAGAGTGCAATCCGAGCTACGGCTGTTGCTTCTGCTGCGCTTGCATAAATTGCCATTAAGCAGCAATTCGCTGGCTCCGTTGGCGTTGCTGTTACTACCATTAGATACGTTCGTCGAGGGCAGCTGGCGATTGGCTAGACCACCACGGGAGGCTTTTGTTTAGTTATTTTTAAATTCGATGATTTTTTTTATAGATTTTTTATTTATTTATTTTTTTTTGTTGCATTTTTGGCAGTTTATCAGATATTTAATAAATTTTGTTGTGTAGTATATGGTAGTGAGAAGGCGCAGCAGTGTGGGCGTGATAATTTTAAATCAAACGAACAAACAAATATGGAACGTACACGAACACGTGGAAGAGCAAAATCACAAACCAATCAAATTGAGCGGCAGCAAAAACGCGCACAATATACAAAGAGAAATAGGAGAGAGAAGTGAAAAGAATAATTACAAAACATTTAGCACACAGACAAAGCGTACAAATTTCATCGGAAAACGATACAAAACCAAAACATAACTTTTCACACACAACAAAAATCAAAATCAAATTAACGAAGTACTAGAAGCTGAAGAAAATTGCTGGCCCAGGTACTCACCCAGCTCGATCTTGGTTTTGTTGACAGAGTTGTCTAGCAGCTCGTGCTGCGGCACAGCCGCGTCCAGTTCGTCCTTTACGGGAACCTTGCGCTCCACGGTTGCCGTTTTGACGCAATCACCGTCTGGTGACAGATCTGAGATTTCCGTGTCGGATAACTCCGTTTCCAGCTTATGCAAGAGAGGCTTTGGAGGCGTCTTACGCATCATTTGGGGCGTTAACTTTAGCGTGGCGCTATCGTAGGGCAGTCCCACTGGAAAGCCAGCCTTTCGCTGCGTTTCTTGAAGTTCATGCTCCAGATTGATAACACGATCCTTGAGCTTTTTGACTAACGCATTATACTCAGTGTCCTTTTCCTGCAATAACTGCTGATAGAACTCCTCGCGATGGCACATATCCAGCTCACGCTGCTGATACTCGCGAACCAGCCTCTTTGCTTTGTTGTACTTTTTGTCCAGTGCCATATACTGCGCCTGCGACTGCTGCAGCATATTTTGAAGATTGGCCGCCTCCTTCTTAATGTTGCCCAGCTCACGCTCGCTTTGGCGCAGTCGTTCGCTCAGCAGTTCATTCTCATTGCCTGTTGTCTCGAGCTTAACCAACTATAGATGGAGGAGGAAATGGGAAAAGCATTAGTTTTAGTTTGACTTACTGCATTGTGGATTTTATGAGAAGATATGAGATTGATAACCAAACAATAAAATATAAAAATGTCCAACAAACCTTCCGTTTAAGATTTTGAATAATTTCTTCCTTAACCATGCAACCCATTTCGCTCTAAATAAAATATATAAAACAAAAACAACATAAATTATAAGCAAAACGGAGAACAATAAATATTTTTGGTGTAACGAAGTTTAAAAATCATTGGTGTTTTAATTAATCCCGCGGATTTAATAAATAGCTCAATTCGTTTGGCGTTTGAATGCTTGGCTGCAATATATTCAAAAGCAAAACTTTTCGCTTTATTTTTTTACTGATCGTTCATATTTTGGGCGATCTCTCCATACGGACGGTAAACAGATAAAAAAGAAGCAGCTATGTCAGAATGACAAGCTGTAAGACTAATTTGTATAGACTAAATATTCTCTTCAACAATTGACATTTAAATCAAAATATTATAAACATAAATATTAGGCGATATGAGGTCTAACTATGATTTGTTTTTCTTTAAGAGACGTTTTGTTTCTCATGACCAATTACCGCTTTATGCTGCGTTTTAATTTCCGCGTAGAAGAAACCAATTTTGAAATTCAGCAAAAGGAGAGAAAAAGAACACGATTTTAGCACAACTGCAGACAGAGCTTGGGTACAGGATTTGCTTACACTACATACCTCCTGTAGAAGACGCTTGAGCGACTCAACCTCCTGGGAGTGTGTAGCTTCGACCTCCATTGGATGTTCAACCTGTACGGGACTAGATGGTCCCTCACAGACACTTGAATTAGCTGAAACTGGCTGCGTCGAATCCTCGGAGTAGTCGAGCGTGCGACGCAGATACTCTTCTTGTTGACTGAGAAAGCAAAAGAAAAAGAAGCAAAGAATAACCGATTGAACAGGTCAGATTAATAGATTTGATGGATTACCGTTTAATGCGCTCCTCTTTTTCTCGATCAGCCTGCAGACTCAGCCGTATGAGTTGGGCAACCTCGGAGTTTTCGGGATCACGTTCGCGTCCGATTTGAAATTTGACTAAACCAGATGTATTGCGCAGCACCGAAGCTGCATAGGCTTGGGTAACGCCAACCAGGCTTTTACCGTCTACTTCGATTATCTGGTCGTTGACCTACAGACATAAAAAAAAACATACAAGTGTTATGGAAATTGTATAGGATTGATGTTACTTACTTGTATACGCCCGTCGCGTGCTGCGGCGCCGTTGTCTGTGATTGTTTTGACGAATATGCCAAGTTTTTCTAAGCCAGCGTCGGCGCCAACGCCCATGCCAATAATGCTGAGACCTAAACCCTCGGGACCTTTCATTAATTCAACAGGAAAGACGTGCATCTTTTCCACACGCTTCTCCAGCTCATATTCGGCCGACGCGGCCACCGGATCGACATCTTCATTGCGGCGATCGTAGTCTGTCACAGAGAATGTGGAATATACGTGTATGGGGCCGGAGCTGAAGCGGACCTTTGGATTCTTTCGTACTGTGATTGGAGGATAGGAGCAGTCGTCGTCGTCAAAGTCTAGCAGACCTTTTAGAATTTTCAAAGTGGCGAGCTTAGTGCATCGGTTAAAAAAATGTAGACCCAGCCTCCTCGACCTACCTGGCACTTCCATCCAAAAATTGCCATCCTCAAAATAATGCACGCCCGCCTCCACAAGAACCTCCTTGCTCCTTACTGGCGGGTATTCTGGTATATAATACTGACTGTCGTCCAACTCAGTAATACCAGTGCTCAAAACAGTCGAATTAGTTGCTTGCTCAATATCCGCCAACGAATATGTAGAGTTGTGCTTGCTGGAGATGATGCTGTCGTCGATGGTGGTCGTTTGATTGAACGTCGCATCCGACTGTGTGGACTCCACGGACACGATTGATTCGTGCAGTGACTCGCCGATTATATAGGTCTGATTTAAGTCGGAATGTTTTCCCTCGGTCCCTTCCGTGGCTTCGTAGCTATTCTGAAGTTCCGTTTGGCGTGTCGTTATGTTTACCAACAGATTCTCTAAACTACGCGTTGGTGCCTCGAGCACATCACGCAGCCACTCCGGCTCATCGTCGTCGTGCCGTGTAGTTGATACTGTTGCTGTCGATGGTGTTGTTGTGGTAGTCTCAATCTCTGTAGTATCCGCCTTTACGAATGTTGCATTCAAAGAAGCAGTTGTGGATACTGCATGTCCAATGCCAACAATGTCAACAGCTTCAACGTCATCCGAATCAAAGTCTTCTGCGACCTGCTGGTCCTCCTCTTCATCTGAACCATCCTCCTTCCCAACAGTCACAGGAGCACTTGAAATTTGAGTGTCCTGCTTAGTTTGGCAGACTTGGGCCGGGATTGTCACCTCCTTGGCCGCTGTAGACTCTTCGGTGAGATTCTTGATGGTAGTCGGAGATATTGCTGTGGCAACAACGGCAGCAACAGCCACGCCCACGTTGGGAGACACGTTGAGTATCTGCTCAACTTCTTTTGCCTGCTCGTCGGATAGCAACGACTGTTGTCTGTCAATTGAAAGCAATATTAAAAACTGACATTAATAATACGTCGGAGAACAGAGTGGAAAGGGATTACGTTATGCATTTTGGCCACTACGAACCTGATTTTGTTTTCCAAAATGCTACGGTATGAGATGCAAAAATACACATACAAAGCATACACATAGCAAAGTTTACATTGTAGGACAATGGACAAAAGCAAGAATAACGGTCAAATACGGAAATAAAATGCAAGATCAATACATAAAAGAAAGGGAAAGAATAATTTAAAATTATATATGAATGTAAGTTATAATATTTATTCGTACATGCAAATTAAAACTACAATTATATATTAAAAAAAAAAATGCCTTTTAAAAATAAAAAATATACTCATTTACTTTACATGGAACAAAGATTATGAAAACTGATCTGCATATTAATAACTGAAAGTGAGCGTGGCACGTATGACAAATCCGATTCGTCGAATGAATTCCAAGGCTCATCTAACCAAACCCACACACACACACACACTTGAAGCTGCTGTCGAGAACAATGGAGGTTTGTCCCAAAGCCAATTTGGCTTCACCAAGGCAAAGTCGACAATAGACACTTTGGAAAAAGTCGTCGGCATAGCAATAAACGCCATCCAAGGATTGAGATGGAAAAGCGGAACAAAGAAGTACTGCCTGATTGTCACTCTAGATGTGAAAAACGCCTTTAACACAGCCAGGTGGGACAAAATATATGACGCGCTATCAACATTCCGCGTCCCATATTACCTTCAGGAGATGATACGCAGCTACTTTAGAGAAAGACTGCTGCAATATGACACCGTAGATGGCCCCATTACACACCAAGTGTCCGCCGGGGTGCCCCAAGGCTCAGTTCTGGGACCCCTCCTCTGAAACATCATGTACGATGACATCCTCCGACTGGAACTTCCGATCGATACAAGTATCGTCGGCTTCGCGGACGATGTGGCCGTTGCAGTAGTCGGCAAGGAATTGAAGGATGTAGAGGAATCTTACAACCACAGTATTGATCGTGTGCACCAATGGCTGGCAGCAGCTGGACTTGAGCTGGGTGCCCATAAAACAGAAGCAACGTTAGTCAGCAGCCGGAAGAAGGTGGAAAGAGCGCACATAAGAGTCGGCAGCGCGGACATAGGATCAGCGAGGGCGTTAAAGTAGCTGAAAGTTATACTAGACACAAGGATGTCTTTCAGAGAGCACTTGGAGTACGATCACAAAAAGCAGCAGAGCCCTGTCGAGCGCTATCTAGGATTATGCTGAACACTCAAGGTCCAAAACAACAGAGACGCCGTCTTCTCATGACAGTAAACAAAGCAATAATATTGTACGCGTCCCCCATCTGGAACAGAGCAATGGCTGTTCCTAGCTACAACTGGAGCATATATTCGATATATTACCTAAGCGCTCTACGGGTCAGCCGCGCATTCCGGACGGTATCAGACGAAGCAGCGCTGGTTATCGCAGGGATGGTCCCGCTTAATGAGCTGGCAACATAAGCGGTAGTTTGCTACAGAGCTCTAAAAGGAATCAGCACAGCAAACTCGGTTCGCACAGCAGCAAAGATGCAAAGCATGGAACGATGGCAAGCACGTTGGGATCGCTCATCTAAATAACGCTGGACACATAGGCTTATCCCAAACTTGGAAGCCTGGATAAACCGCAAGTATGGAAACACTAATTTCTACTTAATACGCTCACACACCAAACACACACACATGCACAACCACTCGTTTGGTACTCATGTTGGTGTTGCTGCATGTTGTAAGTGCTTGTTTATGTTGTTGGTAATGAGGCAGGCTGCTACAGAAAATAACACGGAGCTCCGCACATGGAAGACAGGAGTTTTGTAATACTTGTTGGAACATCTTTTATTTCGTATATTTCGTATAATAATTATAATGCCAAATCAACTATGCATATCCACACAAACTCGTTCATTTCGGAACTTTGAAAACCTACAAACACCCAATAAAATCCAATTCAACAATAAATGAACTTAAATTAAAGAGGGCGTTATCGATTGAAGCATTCGACAGTAATTCAACAATTTTAAAGCTCAGAAGGTAGAAACGAACCCAATTAGCTTAGCATGAAAGTTATATACTTCAAATAAAAATAACGCGACTGGTAGTAATATCAGTGTAATATTTTACGGTTACGGTTAACAGTATAAGTTTTCATTTGGGTAGCGTATCATCTAAATTATTCTAATAAAAGACGAACCTGATAGTTCTAGAAAACAGGAGAGTTATCAAAAATTATTAGAGTAAACATTAAGAACTTTCACCTTTTCGTATTGTTACGGAATAGCTTAATGATTCAGCATTTGTAGTTGGCTGGCATATTTAATATGCCCAATAGAAAGTGTTTATTATTGTCAAATATTCGAATGTTCAGAAAGGTGAGAGTTGAGGGTAACTGTTAACCCGCAGTTAACATTGGTTGAATTCTTATAGTTGTAGTGGGGCAAAAGTGTTATTTCTTGTTGATGAATACTATTTGTTGCCCGCGGATTTGAGCAACACAATGCAGAGCAGAGCAGAGTGCGGCATTACTCAGGGGAAAAGCCTTACATAAGGACACACCTTAAAGTTAAACAAACAGCGTACGTGTGTCTAGGTATATATGCTTGGTTGAACAAGGTCAACTCTTGTTGATTTGTCATACGATTTTAATTCATTAAAAAACAATAGCACTAAAGGACGAACGTAGCTTTGTGCCATAAAAAAGCAGTGACAATAGCGGGAAACTAACAAAACTCCTTCAAGCTCACTCTCTCACTCACTGAGTAGACCTCACTCAATCTCTTAATCTGTCGCTGCTGCGTGGGGCTTTTCTATTGAGTGACATTACACAGAATGACGTCATAAATAAGACCAGCAGTCATTGTATTAAATATATAATAAAACAAGAGGTTCTAGTCGGGAGCTCCCGACTAGGGAATACCCTGAACCCTCTTATTTTAACATCAAATAAATGTAAAAAAAAAAAAGTTCACTTGATAGGATTCGAACCCGCAACTGACAGCAGTACTTGCTGTCGACTCTACTCAACAGCCAACTGACAGCAGTACTTGCTGTCGACTCTACTCAACAGCCACACCAGGAAAAAAAATTCTTTCCCCGGTGGGGCTCGAACTCGCGAAGGACCGCACCACTTGCTACGCCTCTACTTAGCAGCCACACCAGTAATTACTGGTAACAGGTTCTAGTCGGGAGCTCCCGACTAGGGGATACCCTGAACCCTCTTCTTCAAACATCAAATGCATATATATATTTTATTTTAAACGGACGGACGGACGGACAGACAGACGGACATGGCTAGATCGACTCGGCTATTGGTGCTGATCAAGAATATATATACTCTATGGGGTCGGGATGCTTCCTTCTGCCTGTTACATACATTTGGATTTTGCATAAATACAATATACCCTTATACCCATTTTTAATGGGTTCAGGGTATAAAAAGAATCATTTTTAATAGCTGTGATTAACTGATGCTAGTCAAGAGTACAATTTGAAAGATGAATTTGCTTGTTGTTGCCTTTTACAAACTTTTTCCAGTTTTACCATTATAGCCTTTTATATTTGGGAAGGCAGATAAATAAATTGCAAAATGTGAAGTGCTTAGCTAAATAAAACATTCAAGTGTACCTATTTTCATTAAGTTTCAGGCAATAAATGTGGCATCAGCTTCTCCTTCGCACGCAAATAAACAGAAAGTAATATTTAAACAAAGAACAGGGGGATAAGCGGGAATAAATCTGTTTTTAGGGAGCTGTTTATTATGCCAACCAATTTTACTTGTAGTTATTATATTCTTAATGGCATACAAAAAAATATTTTCTGATATTTTCTCCAGACCTACGCGAATATTTGGCAAAGAGAAAACTTACTTCGGCTGATATTTATAAAAAAAAGTTAATCCTTTCTTAATTTTATAAGTGCAATGGCTGAAGTGAAATGCAGCTCAAGTTTAAGTGTCCTATTACGTTTACAAGTTGTCTACAATTCGCCAGCAATAAGGCCTTAAAGTGAAATTGGGAACCCGCAACAATTTCGCCATGCGACGGGTGTCAAGGACAAACGCATTTGGTCCTCACAACTTGGCATATTGCCCAACTCGCTTTTTCACCAAACGAATAGTTCACAGATAAATGAGCAAATCTGTGGTTCTCTCACTATGGGCAGTGTTGGGCGACTTCTGGCCAAGGACAACATCTATAGTTCATGGGCCAAGCTGGGGACTTAAGTCGACGTCACATTATATTTCGGGCCAGTTATAAATTCTAAGTTAAGAGTTAAAGTTATGGCACTTTAGCCAGACCCCACTGCAGTGACAACCTCGAGGCGTATGTGTGATTTTTTGTGTAAATATAACTGCCAAATGGTACATTAGTTGGGTGCTCATTCAATCATTCAATACGTTAGAAATAACGAGAGAGACAACTGTTTGTTTTGAGCGTAGTGTTCGATTACAATCGACATCAATTTGCCCCCCTTAAAAAACAAGTCATATTCCTCTTTGTCCCTTGCAATAGCTTTTGTAGCCATTAAAGAGCAATTGCCCAAAGTAATTTGACTCAAATGCATTTATGGTTACAATGGATGGAATTGCCAGAGATTCGCAAAATTGTGAAAAAGAAAAAATAATAAAAATTATTTCCCATCACATTTTGCACCTACCCTAAGAAATATAATTTGAAATTTTTTTTCTATTGGACTTATCCTCACTTTAATTCGAGCCTTGTTTGCTAGTTTAATAGCCCGTAACCATACTATAAAATACAGCGAATGAGTTTCAATTAAACTTCGAAACGATTTAGATTAGCTTTGTTATGTTATTTTTTTCTAGTTCATGCCATGTTTCATGTTGTTTTTTCGTTCATGCACAATAAGTTAATTAAAACTACGCTGACACACGATAATGCCGATTGCCACAGAAATTTGAAACAACTGAAGGACCGCAACAGCAATGCGAGAGGCGAATGGATGGCTTTCTGGCGGCCATGTGATTGCTTTCTGGGAATTGCAGCAACAGGGTCTGTTTATGCTGCAAGCTGCACAGCTTGCGCTCAAAAACTGCAAACTCAAATCGAAAAGAGTCAAGGCAAAGCTTTCAGAGAATCGGACAAAATACGAGCGATAGCTTAACAGAAGAGAAGACGAGAGAGAGAGAGAGAGAGAGAAAGAGAAAGAGAGAGAGGGGGGGAAGAGTAAAGCGAAACTCAACTCATTCAATAGCTAACACAGAGTAAACTGAACTCAACTTGCTTTCCAATTCTCTCACGGGAGGTGCTCTTGAGTTGAATTTTTGAGACAAATTGAAAATGAGTAGCAAGGTTATGTACAGGCAGATGGAAGCAGCTCGGACAAATATTTGTCTAGTGAGTATTAAATATAAATACATACGTAAGTCTAGGAAACTTGTTTATACTACAATAGGTACTAATTTACATAGTAAAAATTGGTTATTTGATTGATAAAGGGCACTTACAGAAAATAATGCACCTTTCAGCTTAACATTTTTATCAGTAGCAGGTGCTAGGGCAGAAGCAGAATGAGGCCAAAAGTCGAAATAAATGACTGTTAAATTCTGCAAGCACTTCTGGACACCTGTGTCCAGACGTAGGCAACAGCTGCCACAATTGTATGCTACACCTGGGAACTTTAACTATTCCAAAATATAGATAGTTGAAACATTCATTGCGAACCAGACAGGCAAAGTGCAGTTTTTACACGACGTCATTAAACAAATTGGTGCATGGCCAGGACTTTTCTACGGTTATTGTTCAATGCTTAAGCAAATCACAAGAGTCGAGAGAGTACGGAAGGTGACGCATCTGAAACTAGAGCTCTGCGTAAGGCCGACTAAATAAACGACTAACGATAGAAAAGCTTCAAATTACAGTGTTGATGAGGTTGGAGCTGTTTTATACACTAGTTGTGAGTGAAGAAAACAGGAAGAAGGATTACGTCAAGAAAAGATCTCAAAATTTAAGCAATAGTAACTGTAACTATAAAATTATATTAAGGAATGTAATTAAGTGCTGCTTACTGAAGCAAGTTTTCATAAAAAGATTATTCATGATATCCATTCTCATTCCACATGCTTCACTATCTACTAACTACTAACTCACTAACTGAAACATATATAAGGAGCAGCATGCATTTGGAGAAAATCTCACCTTGAACTCAACAATCGCTCAGCCTCGGCGGCCGTCATGGCATCCGGTAAACTGTCGTCACGTGGCATGGCCGCGGCGGAAGCAGGAGCAGAAGCGGACGCTGAACCAGAAGCAGGGGTTACATGCACTTTGGCCATATCATCTATGACATCAGTATTTAAATGTTGTAATATGTCCTCTTCATCCTCGCCGGCGCTAGTGTCCGCATACTCCAGATCTTGGAGCTCAAGTGCAGCCGCACGGCGTTCAGGCAAGACAGGCGCCTCCTCTTCCATGACCTCGAAATATTCCACAGCCAATTGCTCGTCATCTTCCTCCTCCTCCTCCTGGTTGAGTTTTGCCTCATGAAGATCTAGGGATGCTATAGGCGCAATACCCTTGCCTAGTCCGGCACGAGCTGGCGACATTGGTGGAGTGGATTTGGGGCTGCACGTTTCGCTCCCTTCTCCATTCTGCTCACATTGCTGCCCATTGTTGCGGCGCCTTATAGGCGAAACCACACCTACGGGCGGCGAATTGAAGACGCCGCGATATAGCGGCGATCCATCGACACTTGATGTGGGAGACTGCAGGAGACCACGTGAGGATGTGCCCACCTGTGGCTCTGGCTGTTCTGGCACGATTATCGCATACACTGTGCTCGACTCGTGCGAGAAGCCGTTGGCGCCGTGGAACTTACGCTGCATGTCGCTCACCTTGGCCGTAACATAGAGATCCGCTTCGCTGCTGAAGACTTCGTGTGACTCGCTTCCATCGGGATTGAGGCGATAGCCGACATCCACATAGTTGAGGCTGTGCAGCTGCTCCGGGTCGCCATCACTCGGCGACTGCAGCTTGATCTTCAGCTCGGGCGCTTTCTCAGCACTCGGACCCTCGTCCTGGCTGGCCGTCGAAATGATGCTGGGCGGTCGTTGACCCAAACCGGCTGCAGGCATATTCACCGTGATGCTGCTGCGCTTATGGGTGACACGCTGCGGAGAGCCGTTGATGAAGCTGGAGCTTAAATATTGATGTTCTTGCTGCTGTTGCTGGGCTGTTGTTTCGTCCACAGATTTTTGACCTGCAATGCAAAGGATATCATTAAAAAACCAATTTAAATATCGCAACTTTTCATTTTAAATCCATCCAGAATATTTTTAAATATAACTAGTATTGCTCAATAAAATGACTTAAACAAGTAAGAGGTTCAAGTCGGGAGCTCCCAACTAGGGCATACCCTGAACCCTCTTATTCCAACACCAAATAAATTAATAAAAAAAAGTTCACTTGGCAGTGCTCGAACTCGCAACTGACCGCATTACTTGCTGTCGACTCTACTCAACAGCCACACCAGCAAAAAAACAAGTAAGAGATTCTAGTCGGAAGCTCCCGACTAGGGTATACCCTGAACCCTCTTCTTCCAACATCAAATGCATATATATATTCTCTTTTAGAAGCTATATGTCAAGTTTGGTGACTCTAGCTCTTATTATTTACCAAAATTGCCCAAAAAACAGGATATCGATATCGATTTTTATCGATTGCTTGGAAACGGAGTAAGTTATCGATTATCGGAAACAAACTCGATCTGCGCGGGAACTAGGAGCATATAAATCTATAATTTTAAGTCTCTAGCTCTTATAGGTTCTGAGATCCTTGCATTCATACATACGGACGGACGGACGGACGGTCGGACGGACGGACAGACAGACGGACATGGCTAGATTGACTCGGCTATTGATGCTGATCAAGAATATATATACTTTATGGGGTCGGACATGCTTCCTTCTGCCTGTTACATACATTTGGACTTCGCACAAATACAATATACCCTTATACCCATTTTTAATGGGTTCAGGATATAAAAATAAAATAATACTTTCCCCGGTAGGGCTCGAACTCGCGACAGACCGCACCATGCTATGCTATGCCTCTACTCAGCAGCCACACCAACAGTTAATTACTTACGATAAAAAAAGGAACTTAAATAATATTACAAAAAAAAGATGCAATTACCATGCTGTTAGAATGCGAAGCAGACGCGCATGAATGTGTGTGTGTACATGTTTACCGAAATTCTTAAAGCTGCTGCCCCATTCAATTGCGCAGTTGCATATAACTTTGGTTTTTCTTAACCGATCTTTATGAAATTTTCTACAGTATATCTTATTGTACCATAGAATATTTGTGTATTCTGAAAAAGTCAATTGCATTTAAATTGTGGTTTAAATTGGTTGGCAATAAAAGTTGGGTTATTACCTTGATTTATAGCTCTGGAGTGGTAGCGGGGAGGTGGCGAAAGGTATGAAATGAAAGATACTTGAAATATTTATAATATTCTAGAAGCAACATATCATGTTTGGTGGCTCTAGCTCTTATTATTTACAGGATGTCGATATCGATTTTTATCGACTGCTTGGAAACGGAGTAAGTTATGGATTATCGGAAACAAACTCGATCTGCGCGGGCACTAGGAGCACCTACATCTAAAATTTCAAGTCTATAGCTCTTATAGGTTCTGAGATCCTTGCGTTCATACATACGGACGGACGGTCGGACATGGCTAGATCGACTCGGCTATTGGTGCTGATCAAGAATATATATACTTTATGGGGTCGGAGATGCTTTCTTCAGCCTGTTACATACATTTGGATTTTGCACAAATACAATATACCCTTATACCCATTTTTAATAGGTTCAGGGTATAAAAATGGAAACAAATAACTTTAAACTTCATGACTAAGTTTATTTTTGTCTGTTAAAATACATACAAAATAGAACAATTGAGTTATAGATTTCATTCAGACAACAACTTGACTAAATCGTTTTGCATATTAAGGAGCATGAAGGTGCGCTCTTTTTCGGGACCCGCAGCCACATTGACCTTAAATTCGGGGTCATTGTGCCTATGCCGTGCATAAAAATCACGATAGCGCCTCAGTTCTAATTCTAGGTGCTCATCTGTTTTCTGGTTCTCCTGGCCGCATAGTTCACTTTTTATCGTTTCCAACAGGTAGTTCATATCCTTGCGTGTCTGCTCATCTAGCGGCCGACTGAGACTACTGTACCGAATGCTGCAAGCCCTGTGCCGACGTTTATTTAATTGTGGCGTAGCCGTTACTGGAGCATACGCACAACTTACACTTGAGCTGCTGGAATATAAATTCTCCTTTGCATCAGCAAAATATCTAGGCACGAGTTTGGGCCTCGATTTGCAAGTGATCTTGTGCGCGGGTCTAAGTGAGCACCTGCGCTTGTTGCTGCCACCAGCAGAGCGAGGGCCACCAACAGACATTCCATGAGATTCATTAGCTTTGGCTGCCTGATTACAGCAACTACCTGGTGCTCTTTCCGGCTGTATCATGGTGGCCATGGTCTGCCAGGCACTGGTGGTGTTGACCATTGACGTGGACGTGCAACATGGTAACGAATCGCTCGCTTCCACGAAATCCACCAAAATTAGTTCATTCGGGGGTATTTGCATAAATATTCCGCGAAGACGTTTTTGATTGAAACAAACACTGAGGTGACTCATGTAAACCTGGCGCAAACGAAGATCGTTTAATGACTCACACTTCCAGGTGCTAACTTTTTTGTACCAATGCATAGCCAGTTGGTAATCTGAGGACTTTGGACAAAATACCTCCTCAGGCTTAGGTGTCACAGCGAGCAGCAACCTGAAGTCTGTATTCAGCAACTCTTCGACAGTTTCATACGAATCATCATCGCTATATTGAACACAAAAGCGACTCTGAGATTGCAGTCTTGTATTTCTCCTAAGACTCGCCTGACTGCTTCTCTCAGTAATCGACCTGGACTGATTGCGACGAACGTTCCAGTCTTGATTCTCGTCAATGCGCCTATCCTTGCCACGCTTCGCCTTGATCCTTTCATCGCTGCGAGATGTCTGCAATTGCGTTGAACTATAGCCTGTGGCCATTTTAGCAGAACAAGCTACAACCAAACCAGTTGATAATGAATGGAATGAAATCCCTATAGTTGTGTACACAGCCTTTTTCAATTTTGTTGTTTAATTTCGGGCAAACTTTCCAAATTTCTGTCAATTCTCTTTCTATTTAAATGATTATAAATGCAAATGGTTTTGAGAGGCAAAAAGAGGTAATACGACACACTTCTCACTACTATCACATGATGGAAAGTAAATGTGAATAGCTCTATCCAAGTTTCAATGGAAAGAAAACAAGAGGTTCCAGTCGGGAGCTCCCGACTAGGGAATACCCTCTTATTCCAACACCAAATAAATTTAAAAAAAAGTTCTCTTGGTAGGGTTCGAACTCGCAAATGACCGCATTACTCGCTGTCGACTCCACTCAACAGCCACAAAAAGCAAAAAAAAAGTCGCAATTACCATGCTGCTAGAATGCGAAGCAGACGCGCATAAATGTGTGTGTGTACATGTGTACAGAAATTCTTAAAGCTGCTGCCCCATTCAATTGCGCAGTTGCATATAACTTTGGTTTTTTCTTAACCGATCTTTATGAAATTTTCTACAGTATATCTTATTGTACCATAGAATATATGTGTATACTGAAAAATTCAATTGCATTTAAATTGTGGCTTAAATTGGTTGCCAATAAAAGTTGGGCTATTAACTTGATTTATAGCTCTGGAGTGGTAGCGGGGAGGTGGCATGGGTATAAAATAAAAGATACTTGACAAAAATTTATTATATTAGAAGAAGCAACATATCATTGTTGGTGACTCTAGCCCTTATTATTTACCAAAATTGCCCAAAAAGCAGGACATCGATATCGACTTTTATCGATTGCTTGGAAACGGAGTAAGTTATCGACTATCGGAAACAAACACGATCTGCGCAGGCACTAGGAGCACCTACATCTAAAATCTAGCTCTTATTCTGAGATCCTTACGTTCATACATACGGACGGACAGAACACACAGACGGAAATGGCTAGATCGACTCGGCTACTGATGGTGATCAAGAATATATATACTTTATGGGGTTGGATGTGCTTCCTTCTGCCTGTTACATACATTTGGATTTTGCACAAATACAATATACCCTTATACCCATTTTTAATGGGTTCAGGGTATAAAAAAGCTTAGTCTCTAGAGCCAAGCGCACTATTCCTTATTTGTCACCCAAATCGACTATTTCGAATCTATTGTAGTTACATTATGTGTTAAAGTCAGGAAAATGGAATTATCAGGGAAAACATTTGGATGAACTCTTTTATTTGCCATGCAATTGGCCGTGAAATATAAGCTATAAATTTGTCAATGTTATACAAGCGGCTAGATTATTTGTAGTGATTTAATTGTTATGATTTGACTTTACAATTATCTAAGGTCCGAAATCAAACGTGGAAAAGTGTTCCACGTTGTATGCGCGGCCAGTGGAAATAGCCCTGCTCCAGTAGAAAACCAAATATGCTCAGAATAATGCCAATGACCCACAAATAAAATGCGCCCTGTAAAATGTCCAAAGTAAGCACCACTCGTTTTGGGCGACACTCTTCGGAATCTGCATCCTCTGCTTCCAGGTCTGCCTGCAGTTCAAGATCCTCGAAAAACTCATCGGATTGCGAGGTTCGACTCCGTTGGACAACATCCCTGCGCAACCAGTACTTGAAAAAGCCGTGCTCATAAAAATTACTCAACATTCGCTGAAACTTGTATAAAAACGGTGATCCCAGCGGTAGCACATAAGTGCTCGGCATAGATCTCAGGTATTGTTTGACAATGTGATAGGCGGGACGGTCCGCCTCTGCGTTGTAGGTGAGTGCCAGGAATTCTCTGGCCTTGTCATCACGCATAATAAAGACGTCTTTTTTGTAACGACGGCTGATTAACAGCTCAAAGAAATGTTCACTATCCTTAAGAGGGTGCACTCGGTGATTGGCTGTAATCAGACGGTAATGTCGCTCCGAAAGTGATAAGTTCACAGCCTCAAACATGGTATCTATTCCGTGCACACGCAAACCATGTGGTATCAGCTCATCCAGCGAATCTATCTGTGGCTCATAATTCGGCTGAACAAAGCTGCTCTCCAACTTACCAAAGTATATAGAAGTCAACACATAGCTGAAAAGAATCCATCCTATAAGATATGCTCGTATAGAGCTGATGCGCAAGAAACGATCGACGGGTTGGCCCAAATGCGTCTTAAAGAGCATTTGAAAAATATCATACCAGTGGGAACCTGCATCTCCGACAATGCTCTTTAGCAGCCACTGTAACATGAGGAAAAGCACAAAGGCAATCAAGAAATTGGCCAGTAACAGGTGCCAAACGGAATTCCGAAAAGCGGTCACAAAGATAAGATACTCCGGTTGCATTCCCGCCGCAGGAACCACCAAGCTGAGAACGGTTCGGGTGTATGGATATAGCGATTCTAGCAACGGCATCATACATTCCAAGACAAAGCGAATGTTGAGTGCAATATGCGTTTCCCCATTTACCAAGTCCTGCACGACGCCCGTGAAACTGCCGTTCTCCAGGCAACGTCCATAAGCTTCACCATCACGAGGCACCACATAGCGAGCTGTGGCATTCAGTTTTTTAGCCAAAAGTCGTGCAACGGACCCATCAATAGCTTCATAGCCTTCGCTCTCCACAGGATTAAGCGGCAGGGCCCGCAGCGGATGGGTGAACATAGAAAACCGGAGTTCATATCCATGCAAATTCCTCAACTTGTCAATGTAGAAGGCATCATTGGATACCTTTTTGAGCTCCAGTCCCTCTTCACCAAATGGTTGGAAATCGTAGATACCCTCCCGGTGAATAATTGCCAAAGCGAAGAGTAATTGCTTTCGCCAACATTCTTTAAACAGTTGTCTTAGCTGTTGCTCACTAGCTTCTGGCCAAATGAACAGATATTTATGGAGATGTCGCCTCGGCTGTCGAGCATTCAGCATGTCCAAAATTCTGCGCACCAGAGGCTGTCCAGCGTCGCCAGCGGGTATATGAAAAATATTCATGCTACTTGTCTGACGAATTGGCTCGATCTCGTGAGCTTCTATGCTGCGCATACAGCTCGGCAACTGCGAAGCCACACAACGATACAGCTTCTGCTCCAAAGTCAGGTAAGTAACAGAATTAGCTGCGGGGCAGCTAAAACATCGATATATATAGGTGGTTTGGGCGGATTCCGCTGTGGCGATCAGGCAGCTAATATCTGACAGATCCTGGGAATCTTCCAAAGTAGTTGAAGTTGTGGTTGTGCTGTTAAACAATCCGACCAGAATACCAAGTATAGCCCACATGTTGCCAAAACTAACTGACTAACGGCGTTTGAGCAGGCTAACAACGGATCTGCTTCGAACACTTAGCTTAACGTCAAATAAACATGCGTGTTGTTTTAATTAAAAACACGAAAAAGACGTTTATATTCAGGAAGTCAACTATTAAATACCCTTGTAGACAAATGTACAATAGTATAATAAAAATTCGTGGGTTAGTAAAGACATTATACATTTATATTATATATTAAAGGCATATTGTCGTAAAGTCGTTGTCCAGTAGAAAGTTGTAGTGTACTGTAGTTACCTTATGTGTTGATGCATGTTAAGACGGGGTATCGGAAAATTCGATTCACTTGTGTGGAAAAATCGCAAAAATCCTCATTTTCAAAGATCTTTGTTCAAATTCATTTGAGGGGTGTTTCACACCTCTCGTGAAATGCAATCCTCCTTTGTGAAAATATTTGTTGGGCGAAGTTTTAAGTATGCACATATACATACATTCATACAAACATCAATGCTACATACGTACGTACGTACGTACATACAAACATGCATCCATACATATATACATCATACATACAACATACATACAAAATACATATAACAAAACATGCATTGAAAATAAGGCAACAAATAAATACCAAAAAAAAAAAAACACTTCACTACTAGGTAAGCATGAAAACATGCAGAGCCTTCTTGAATTCTTAAGAATCGAGGAGAAGACCACTTGTTAAAAATTCGTTTTATTAAAATTTGCAGCACAACACATAAATAATAACAAGTAAGAGGTTCTAGTCGGGAGCTCCCGACTACGGGATACCCTGAACCCTCTTCTTCGAACATCAAATGTATATATATATTCTCTTTTATAAGCTATATGTCAATTTTAATGACTCTAGCTCTTATTATTTACCAATATTGCCCAAAAAACAGGATATCGATATCGATTTTGATCGATTGCTTGGAAACGGAGTAAGTTATCGATTATCGGAAACAAACTCGATCTGCGCAGGCACTAGGAGCATCCACATCTAATTTCTAACATCTAACATCTACAGACATGGCTAGATCGACTCGGCCCAATGGCCACCAATGCTGATCAAGAATATATATACATTATGGGGTTGGAGCTGCTTCCTTCTGCCTGTTACGTACATTTGGATTTTGCACAAATACATACAATACAATATACCCATATACCCATTTTTAATGGGTTCAGGGTATAAAAAGTAGCGGTGTAGATGCTAATTAGTATTTCTCAAATTTTGCGAAATACTAAACTTTTCTAGATAATGAATTGTACCAGAATATATACTTACGAAAGTTTGCCTTGTTTTCTTTAATGACTTACACATACCCTTTTTAAGGGTATAACAATAATGAATTCATAAAAGCCAACAGGAATAAAGAAAACAAAAATTATTTAACATCCCTATATGAGCTAGGTCAACAATACCCAAATGGTCTCAAGAGACACAAAAAGCACTAACTTAAAAAATTAATTTAGTTCTACCGAATAGCAATAGTTAGATGGTCTTTCACCCTTAGCTAAGATTTTACAGATAAAAGTAGTTTCACACATTATTAATATTTTACTTATGCATATATAGTTTTGTGTTTAATATTTCTTACTGACCTCGACAGACTTTGAATAATTTTTTCAGGCTGAGACACATTTTTTTCACTTATTTTAAGATAATGCACGACGCGATTAAAAGTCTGTTACAATTTGATTGGACATTTTTTTTAGCCCTACAACAAAGGAATATTTGTAAGATTCGGTAATGAAATAAAAATATGTCTTTATGTGCACGTTTTGAACTTTGCCCGCGAAAATATTTCTCGTCCACTAGAGAACCGAAGAAGATTAGAAAGAGGCCAATAATCATCAAATTACAAGAGCCCTATAAAATGTTCAGCTTCCACATATTGGAAGTAGCGATTAAACACACCACGACGAAATCAACACAGCTGATGCCTGACCCTTGCGTATACTTAACGCCAATTAGACGTTAGCCATGTCTCGACTAAAACAAGCAAGAATACTTAATGTCCCAAGAGAAAACAGGGGCGAGAGTGCGTGCCAATAAACCTAATGAGGTCGAGTTTGAATGCACATCGCTTTGAGGGTTACACTAACACCAATTCAAGTAAATAAACTTAGTACAAATTTTAAGGTATAGCGAAGGTCAATGTTGAAAATCTAAACAAAAGAGTACATTTCTGTTGTGCGGTTTCCTATCTGTGTCTTAAACAACAATCCTAAAAAAGCACCGATTAACGACTGGGCATTGCCAAAAATAAAAAATAATAAAATGTAACCATCCATCGCTTATAAATTATTTTACTAGAGAGGCTAAAGGGTGAATATTGATAGATAATGAGCTTTTTAAGAAAAAGTTCATCCATTAAACAATTGTGAACAAATCCCTCCCGTTGACCAAATATATTTTTTTCAGTCGTCAGACAAATTTAGAATGAGTTTCTAAAATTGTATGCATCGAAAATTGTCTTCATTGTTTCGTTGGTATGTTATTTTAGAGCTTGTTGCTATGTTGCAATACACAAAAGTACAGAGACAGGCAGCGTTTGAAAAAAGTTTCTCTCCCTAATCATGCCCTTTAAGTTAACAATATTTCTGTATTCTAGATACATGTATATTTTGCCGATCGCCGCGATACGACCATCTTCGTCATTCTCCTGGTATAACATAAAATAAATTTAAGTTAAAATCTTATACAGCCTTAAAAATATAGGTGCAATCTAACTGCTCATTAACGAAGGATTTTTTTTTTAGAAAATTATGGTCCCAGCACCGATGATATAAAAAATATATGTTTTCTAATAATGTTTGTGTTCAATCACGCCCTGACTACATGCTTATGATTGAGATAAGGGTTGCGATTAATTGTATTTGTTTCGGTTTTGGCAAAGATTCCAAAACGAGCAAAGCTTTCACTTCATTTATCAAAGTTCCGTAAAACTAAAAAAAGTTCAGTGTTTTTGATATTTTGTTTGTTTAGACTTAGTAAAATATAATGTGAGTTGAGGCAATTAAAACTCGCACGTAGCGTCAAGTAATACTACGCGAATAAACCAAAATAATTATTGACGCTTTATCAATTGAGACGCCACGAAAACTCGACATTAACTAAAAGATCAAGCGCAAAATTTTGTAAGATTGAAAGAATTTTTGATCGGCTACAGTTGCTAAAAGAGCGCAAGATTCGTATTCTCTCTCACGCAGTTTCTGTCGCTGTCCCTGTCTCTCGGCTGCTCATTTTCGCGCTCTGTTCGCACTTTTTGGCAAAATGCCCATTGCTGACTGTCAGACAAGTAGCAGCTAGCACCAAGTTCCTATTTACAGGGTGACCCATGTGGGGGAAACTTATCCCTTACACATTTCATTAGCGAATTAGACTCTGAGGCCGAAAGGGCGTCACTTGTCAAACTGCCAGATTGCACAAGCAGCGTATGTTGGGAAATTCCAGAGATGTTCTTCGAATCTATAATCTGTATGTTTCTAGAACTAATACAAGATTACACTTATTTAGAAAATTTGTAGTTGTTTATTAATTTATTTCGTAAAATTTCCGTGATTGATATTATAATTCTAAACGCTGTGAGAAAGCTAAAATGGATCACATTTCCATACCAAATTTACCAACGAAATACAACATTTTACGGAAAAAATTTGTGCATGGACAAAATCAGTGACACGGTAGCTACAGCAGCGGGAAATAAAAAACGTGGCTGTCACAAACCCATGCACTGGGAGAGCATTGAACTCAAGGGATATACAATAAATAATACAAAGGATGTGTAAGAAACAGTCAGGAATTCTATAAGATATAAGATACCACTCTGCAGTGGTAAACATAGAGGTATAACTTCCCAGTAAAGACTGGATCTAATCGAGTGCGTGACAAATAAAAATACCCTCTATGAGGCAATAATAAGCATAAAAAAAGCAGCTGCCGCCATCTAGTGGCAACGGCAAACGGCAAAATCTCTCAACTAGTTGCTGCGCCATCTAAGCTCCTACCAAACGAAAGCTTTAGTACTGTTGGCGCTAAAAGCTCCGGAACCTACAGATTTCACTTAGCCATTTTCACCAGACTTGACAATGGGGTGGGAAAATACTACCTATGTCTATATTGATTCCAACACTCGGTTCTTTATTCGATTAATTTAAAACGTATTTTTAAATAGAAGTGGAGATAAAGATGGAAAGATTTAAATTCTACAGTTTTTGGCAAAAGGCATTCTACTCTTTTTATACCCTGAACCCATTAAAAATGGGTATAAGGGTATATTGTATTTGTGCAAAATCCAAATGTATGTAACAGGCAGAAGGAAGCACATCCAACCCCATAAAGTATATATATTCTTGATCACCATCAGTAGCCGAGTCGATCTAGCCATTTCCGTCTGTGTGTTCTGTCCGTCCGTATGTATGAACGTAAGGATCTCAGAATAAGAGCTAGATTTTAGATGTAGGTGCTCCTAGTGCCTGCGCAGATCGTGTTTGTTTCCGATAGTCGATAACTTACTCCGTTTTCATGCAATCAATAAAAATCGATATCGATATCCTGTTTTTTTGGGCAATTTTGATAAATAATAAGAGCTAGATTCACGAAACATGGTATGTTGCTTCTAAAATATATATTTGTCAATAATATTTCATTTTATACCTATCGCCACCTCTCCGCTACCACCCCAGAGCTATAAATCAAGTTAATAACCCAACTTTTATTGGCAAAATAATGAAGCCAAATTTAAATGAAAATGACTTTTTCAGTATACACAAATATTCTATGATACAATAAGATATACTGTAGAAAATTTCATAAGGATTGGTTGGAAAAAAAACCAAAGTTATATGCAACTGCGCAATTGAATAGAGCAGCATCTTTAAGAATTTTTTTATACATGAACAAACACACATTCATGCGCGTCTGCTTCGCATTTTAACAGCGACTTTTTTCTGTAATTCTATGTAAGTTGCTTTTTTTTATCATAAGTGCTTAATTGAAAATTTTGACCCAAATCGAATAAATGGCAAGGGGTTAAATCACGTTTTTTTTTTTTTTCAAAATCGAGGTCGGTGCGAAAATCGAACGTTTTTCGATGATTTTTTTTTAATATCTCGGGTAATAGCTCCGCGCGGAGATATGATGTTCCAAAACGACAGAACTCCGCGCGGAGATATGACCTTCCAAGTCATCACGATTGTTTTCAAAATCGAGGTCAGTGCGAAAATCGAAACTTTTTCGATAATTTTTTTTAATATCTCCGGTAAATAATGTCTGATTTTAAAATGTTATGCCTGTTTGAATGCGTACGGATCCCTACCATCAATTGGCATTCAAACAAGTTAAACATCGATGGGTTCAAAAATTTTAAAGACAAAAAAACCATTAGTTTGTAAGTCAACCTTTTTAATGATTTTTTGGAATATTTCTGTCAAATAATGTCAGATTTTGGAATTTTATACCATTTTTGACTCGTAAGGATCAGATCTATCGATTGGCATCAAAAAAAGGAAATCCAACATTTTGACCCAAATCGACAAAATTGCAAGGGGTTACATCACGCTTTATTTTCAAAATAGAGGTCGGTGCGAAAATCGAAACTTTTTCGATGATTTTTTTTAATATTTCGGGTAATAGCTCCACGCGGAGATATGACGCTCCAAAACGACATAACTCCGCGCGGAGATATGACGCTCCAAAACGACATAACTCCGAGCGGAGATATGACGTTCTAAAACGACATAACTCCGCGCGCAGATATGACGTTCCAAAACGACATAACTCCGCGCGGAGATATGACGTTCCAAAACAACATAACTCTGCGCGGAGATATGACGTTCCAAAACGACAAAACTCCCGCAATATGACCTTCCATAAAATCATCACGTTGTTTTTCAAAATCGAGGTTTTTGCGATAATCGAAACTTTTTCGATGATTTTTTTTTAATATCTCGGGTAAATAATGTCTCATTTTAAAATGTTATACCTTTTTGAATGCGTACGGATCCCTACCATCAATTGGCATTCAAGCAAATTAAACATCGTTTTTTTTTTTTAAAAAAATGTAGACAAAAACCGATTTGTTCGTAGTCAACCTTTTTGATGATTTTTGGAATATTTCCGTTGAATAATGTCCAAAATTTGGACCCAAATCGACTAAATGGCAAGGGGTTACATCACGTTTTTTTTTTTTTTTTTTTCAAAATGAGTATACCCTGAACCCATTAAAAACGGGTATAAGGGTATATTGTATTTGTGCAAAATCCAAATGTATGTAACAGGCAGAACGAAGCATCTCCGACCCCATAAAGTATATATATTCTTGATCAGCATCAATAGCCGAGTCGATATAGCCATGTCCGTCTGTCCGTTCGTCGGTCTGTCCGTATGTATGAACGTAAGGATCTCAGTACATATAGCTATAGACTTGAAATTTTAGATGTAGGTGCTCTTAGTGCAGATCGAGTTTGCTTCCGATAATCTATCACTTACTCCGTTTCCAAGCAATCGATAAAAATCGATATCGATATCCTGTTTTTTGGGAAATTTTGGTAAATATTAAGAGCTAGAGTCACCAAACTTGACATATAGCTTCTAAAATAGAATATATATATGGATTTGATGTTGGAAGAAGAGGGTTCAGGGTATCCCCTAGTCGAGAGCTCCCGACTAGAACCTCTTGTTTATATTTCAGATTGTATTCTTACGCCCAATATATTGTCAGTTCCTTTAAACGTTTCATTTAACTTTCTTTTAATACAATTTTGGTGTAAACTTCATGTAAGTATGGTATTTGCGAACCTGCTCATACGCCGCTATTGATGTTTCAAAAAGGAAAATCTCAACTTGATTTAAATAAGTCAAATTTAGACAGGATAGGTAGGCCTCCGTCAATTCAAGTGATAATGACTCTGGCGTTGCTTTTAGAATGTGGCGTTGTTTTAACAGCAACAACGTGCTCGATAATCAAGATAGGGCCACGCCCACAGCACAGAGCATTACAGAATTATGAATTAAAAAAGTGACAGGCCTGACTGTAGTTCATTTGAATGCCCCTCACCGCTCGCCCGTTTCTTCCTGACCCGTTTATTAACAATGGTGCAGAGGGGCACCTCGCGCCATTCGCAGTCCAGCACAATATCTGATGCAAGCGCAGCGTGTAAGTTTCAATTTTGTAATCAGCAGTAGAAAAAACGCAGAAGGCGCAAAAAAGGGGCAAGAAGAGCAACGAACCTCTGAATTCTTAATCTGGCATTAATGCAATTTTATGTATACAGCCTCAACGGAGGAGCGACGGGAGGACGTAGAGGCGAGACGGTACAGCAGATTGCTGGCCAAGAGAATCCCAACAAAATCCGCAACGTCGCCGGCTTCGTTGCATGGAGATGGTCGACAACAGATTGCAAACGATGCACTTAGACGAATGAAGACTGGCAACGAGAGGAGGAGGATGGACACAAAGCTTGGAATGCTGTTGTTGCCGCTTGCGCCATGGGGGCTGCATTTGATATGCCTGGTGTATTTGACCCATATTGGAATGTGCCTCTGAGAGCCAAGCAAAACAAACTGCAGCAACTTAAACAGGGCGGAGGGGAGGAGCGGGCATTCGAAGTCACGAATTGTGTGCAGTTTAAAAATGCTATAATCAACGATGGGATAGGCATAGAAGGGCAGCAAACCAACGAGCGCATAACCTAACGCCGACCAGCTTCGAACCCTGTGTCTCGTTTATTCCTAGGGGTTTTCGTCACACACACATACCTACACATCCACAACATGTCAGCTAATGTGCTTGAACCCAGGGCCACAAAATACGCCAGTTGTACATAGTTAAAAGTTTGACAGCCCAGTACGTTCGGAATTAATTTACTGAATCAAGTAACGACCCTATTAAGAAAACTACTGAAGACCCTGTTATTAAATAATTATTTAGAGTGAAAGAGCAAAACAAGACTTTTTTGACATTTTTAACATTCCAGAAGAAAATTCTAAATGTGTAGTTATAAAGTGCAAATTTCTTTCTCTACATGTTCCTTTTTATATCTTTTTCTCATTTTTACACTTTTACATCCCTCCTAACTATTATTTTAGTTCTCATGGGGTAAAGGAACATCAAATACGTACGCATTACCGAATTTCACACATCCAACAAGTAAAATTATTCTTTAAAAAACAGTGTCCAAATCGACTGTTATCGATATTTTTTAAATGAGACGAGATATCACAAAAAAATGATAAGTTCCTTTGCGTATAGGATATTAGATTATACATATCGACGCTTTCATACAGACCAATAGACGGATATAGCCAAATCAAATCAGCTCGTTGTCCTAAACAATAATATATACACATTATGGGGTCATGGGGACACGTCTACATCTGCCTGTTACCTTCGTTTGAACAAAATAAATATATATTTTTGCTCATTTTCAATGGGTACAGGGTATAACAAGGAAGAGATGAAAAAATCAATAGAAATTAACTTAGCACAAGACTGAGACAGAGGGATTGAGAAACAGCAAGCCAGTAAAACAGAAATTATGAAATATCCTTTTTGGGGCTGAATTTGTCTGCTCCGGCATGTTACATAGTTTTATAAATATACCGCCCTCTGAAAGTCCTTAACAAAAAGTTTAACTAACCTTCGTTTTCACTCCGTCGTCGTTGTGGCACACTGTTGTAGCTGTTGGGACAAGCTTCAGTTTCAGACTTCTCTGTTGACTCATTTTCTTGTTTTTCATCCTCGGTATGCACGGGCGAGGATGGACCCGATGATGCGCTAGCCACTGGCGAACCAGATGTTGCTGAATTGGTGCTTCCACTGAGGCCATTGCCATTGCCTGTATATGATGTTTCGGGAAACGCCGCATCGATAGAACCTCGCTTGGTTGCCTCCATCATGCAGCTCATCAAGCTGGTGGGCGAGGCGCAGGACGCGGGCGAGGAGCAAGTGGTAGGCGCTGCATCGTCTACAAGATCGATGGACTTTTTGCGCGGCTTCTCAGGCGGCACCGGGGCAGTTATTTGCTGCTCCTGTTGCAATAGCGCCGAGCGTTGCATGGCCGCCGTAACGGCTGCAGATTTGGCTGGCGGCGGTGGTGGCGCCGCCTCCGAGCATTTTGTGGGCGAACGCACGCGCTCCGTAGTAAATTTGACGGGACTAAGATTCTTTGGCTTAATGGCTGGAATGGGCGGCAAAGGAGGCGATTTCACAGGACTGCCAATTTTGCCACTACGCGGCTTTATCTCTGGTGGGACAGCTGTAGGAAGAGGAACGGCGGCAGGTGAAGCAGCAGTGTGGCGTAAGGGCGCACTCGGCGGCTCCGGGCTCGCCGTCACGACTACAGGCATTGTTTTTGGCGTCTTCTCGCCATCCATAATGAGGCCCGTGCCGGGCACGGTGCGTATGATATCGCAACGATTGAGATCGCTGTGAGTCCGTGTTGTCTTTGTCTTGGTGAAGTGCGAGGTCCATTTCTTTTGCTTCTCGATGAGCTCTCGAGAATTGAATTTGCGTTCGGGTTTCTCAGGCTTGTCGCAACCGGCAAAAAGGGAACTGACCGAACCGTTCGATGGCGGCACCGCTGCAACTTGGTTCAGCTCTTCCAACTTCAGCCGTGATAAATTGTGCTGTGGATATTTGGCGGCAGCCAATGGATCTACGATAAATTTGGTATTGTTGAGACGATCGCCGCAACCTTGCGACAATGCTGAAATGTTGTTACTTTGGGTGAGGGAAGCGCCGGACGGAAAGGGCATACGTCGCTTCGGCGGAGACTGCGAGCGATCTGAGGAGCGCGACGAGCTCCGATCGGAGCCTTCGTACAGGTTATCCTCACGTGATCCGCTGCGCATTAAGCGTGTGCTCACATTCGAGTTGGACTCCACTCCCAGTTTTTCAAAGAGTGCTCGTGCGTTGTTAAATCTGGCCGAGTGGGATTCGGTGCGAACTGGCGGGTGAGCTGCAGCTGCAGCGGCGGCGGCTGCGTGAGCTGCGGCCACGGCGCTCAGCTGCTCGACCGGTTGAATTTCAATGGGTTTTCGCTGGAAGATGTTGGCAATTTGAGAGACTTTCCCAACGGGAGCGGGCGCATGCTGCATTGGCTTCTCCATATTGGGCCTAAAAAAAGTTGCAAAAGAATATTAGAAAATTAGATAACACTAAAAATTATTCAGTATATCGTTTTGGACTATGACTAATTGTCTGATAGCACGGAGCTTCGCGCCTCAAATGACAAAATCGTGTTTTACCCGTGCCATTTTTGTCAACTGCTTTGACTCACAATGCTTTTTACTCTCTGTACTTACTTTCTTTCAAAATAAAATAATGCAATATTTATTGTTGTTTGCGATCAAATGCAGATAAGCCCACCAACTCGAAGACTTTCAAGACACTGATATCTGATAAGGCCCCGGCGATTGCCAATGTGAAGCTTTCAAATAGTAACAAGTAAGAAGATCTAGTCGGGAGCTCCCGACTAGGGGATACCCTGAACCGCCTTCTTCCAACATCAAATGAATATATATATATTTTTTATTTTAGATGCTATGTCAAGTTTGGTGACTATCTTTTACTATTTACCAAAATTGCCCAAAAAACAGGATATCGATATCGATTTTTATCCAATATCGGACACAAACTCGATCTGCACTAGGACAACCTACATCTATTTCAAGTCTCTAGCTCTTATAGGTTCTGAGATACTTGCGTTCATACATACGGACAGACGGACGGACAGACAGACAGATGGACGTGGCTAGATCGACTAAGCCATTGGTGCTGATCAAGAATGTATATACTTTATGGGATCGGAGATGCTTCATTCATTTTAATGGGTTCAGGGTATAAAAATGATCGTTTTCTATTATAGGAGATATGATAAATTCTTCTAACCGGGATTAAACGAGCTATGTATAATATAGTTAGCATTCAAGAAATTGGCTCTTCAAATTTCTGGTAGAAACAGAAATGTCGGTTGTGTGCGAGTTGTTCGTTTGATTATGACAAAATTATCGCAAAGACTGCGTACTCACAACTTTAGAACAATAAATAGCGGAGAAGTAAATAAATGACACAGATAACACCCCACACACAGAACTATGCACTATAGAGAGACTCAAAAATTAAAATTGGGTATGATACAGATTCGACTGTGTGTGGACACACAAAAGCGTATAACAATTTACAACGCAAAAAGAACAAAGAAAAATATAAATATAGATCAAAACAAGTTCTGATTTACACAAGCACAACGTTTATCTAATCTCAACAAAAATTATAAAGACTTGCGATCATGAATAAGACAAACTTATCAGAACTGTGATAAACATTATCTGTGATCTGGCATACTATTGTCGAGCACTGCAGGAACGTTCCAGATAAGCGATTTATGATAAGCAAAGTGATAAACGTGCTGCGGCAACTGCATTTCAAATATCACGTATACACAGTTAATGCCCGAAGCAAAATGCTGCAATTTGGTTGGTCTGTGCCCACCAAATATTCAAAGATCGAATATACATATTCAGGTGCTGGTATTAAGTTAATGACAAGTTTTATTTCAATGTCCTTGCTCATGGTAAATGACCCATTCAGGCAGACAATTCAGGCAGACTATAGTAAAAAGAGGAACCAGAGAAGTCCCATGTATTTTAAAGTAATGCATTGTAATGCACTTGCACTAATTCTCCTTGACATGTTAACATGTTAATTGGCAACAAAGAATTGTTAAATTGCGCTCGTTAAATGCGTTACAAGCAGACAGCATCCAAGGATACAGGGCACAAGGAAGGGAAAGTGCACACGTCCTTCCCAATGTCGTATGATATAATTGTATTGACGCTTCGCCTGGGAAAAAATATAAAGTAAACAATGAACTATAGCTCGCTGATTTTTAGATTGGCGATAGATTGCAGAACGCCAAAGCGGCAGATAAATCATAGCGATTGACTGCAATTAGTGAGGTAGCGAAAACTCGAAATTATGAAAGTACTTGACGCATGTTAAAAAGTTAACCGAACTTAAGAAAACTTTTATTGAAAACAAAATTTACGATGATACAATAATTAGAAACAAGTAAGTCTAGTCGGGAGCTCCCGACTAGGGGATACCCTGAACCCTCTTTTTCCAACATAAATTGCATATATATATTCTATTTTGGAAGTTATACGTCAAGTTTGGTGACTCTAGCTGTTATTATTTACCAAAATTGCCCAAAAACGATATCGATATCGTTTTTTATCGATTGCTTGGAAACGGAGTAAGTTATCGATTATCGGAAACAAACTCGATCTGCGCTGGCACTAGGAGCACCTGCATCTAAAATTTCTCTAGCTCTTATAGGTTCTGAGATCCTTGCGTTCATACATACGGACATCCGAACGGAAGGACAGACGGACATGGCTAGATTGGCTCGGCTATTGGTGCTGATCAAGAATATATAGACTTTAAAGTATCGGAGATGCTTCATTCTGCCTGTTACATACATTTGGATTTTGCACAAATGCGTTCAGGGAATAAAAAAGAAGTATTCAGTAGTTACAAGATCAGCAATGTAAGTACTAAATAATAATTGAGTAAAATTAATTTAGAACCAAAATATATATCGAAATGATTTTCTGACTATTAACCTATATTATACTAAAGCACTCTTAGAGTTAAACATGTTAATTTATGATAATTGCGTCTTGTGATTTACAATATAAGGATAAGATCTATGTTGTATATTCAGATTTAAATGTTAGATTATTCCAAAGGGAAAACCATGAACATGTAGAGCCAAATCGGATGAGATTTGACCGAGTTATGGACACGGGAAGTTTAGACCCATGTCGATATACGAATCGTTTGCCAAAGTATTCTAGAGGGAAAATCGTGACCACAAAGTCAAACTTCGTAAAAATCGGAATGAATTTGACTGACTTGTGGGAATGGGAAGTTTTTGACCCATGTGTATATACGGGGTAAGATTTTGACATGATTTTCGACCAAAAACATTTTATTCAGATTTGTATGCCGGATTATTTTACATATATATATGTATATATATATATATATAGACATATATACATATACATATATGTATATATATATATATATATATATATATATATATATATATATATATATATTGCCACGGGCAAGGCCGGGCTATACCCTAAGGCTTCATTTTTTTACTGATCGGCTTTATTTTGAAACTGATCGGACGGTAAGCAAACAACTTACAAACGTTTTCCGCTTATTAACCACTTTTGCGGGTGGAATTTCCCAAATCGTTAAAACACATATTCATTAAGTCTTATATAGAGCTTTGAAAATAATTGTGAATCAAATCGGAAAAAGTTAAAACATCTCCAAAAAAATCTTTGAATTACAATTTTTACCGAGGATTCTGCCAAAAATGTAAAACAGGTCTTAAATGATTCTTCCTTTGGATCCTTGGAAATGAATTTAATCCCGAAACTTCCCCTACCATCTCTTTGACACCCATTTCCACCAAGGGACAGATTTTCGAAAAAGTGCGAAACACCGCTCAAATCAATTGGAACAAAAATCTTTAAAAATGAGTTTATGGCCGATCCGATGGTTAACAAAAAAGTTTCATATGATTTTTCACATAGATCCTTGAAAATGACTGAGCGCGAAACATCATCCACCAAATCTTTGATAACGTAACTACAGTAAACATTTCAGCTTCCTAGAACTTTCGGTTTGGGCTCACCAATCAGTCAGTCCGTCGGTTAGTCAGTCAGGAGAAACAGTTTTATATATAGAGATAATGTGGATATAATACAGGCTCCATTTCTTGTCAGACGTTTTATGTGTTTGACAGATCATATTTGATTTGACTTTACAGATATCTGGTAAAAAAAAAAACTATGCATGCTCTGACCCGTAATAAATTTGCGCGTAGACAAGCCTAGGCAACAGAAACAACAAACAGCAGTTCACAAATTTACTAATCTAGAACGCGAAACAAGTCGCCGCCGTTGGTTGTTCTTGTTAGACAAATTATGCCAATTAACCAGTGGGAAAAGGAGTTGGCAAGTCTGCAAGTGGGTTCTACTTTGTGGGTTGCGCTGAGTGTGGGGAGACTGGTAAACGTTGAATGCTAAATATAATACGAGACAAGGATGCAATCACTGGCCGACTTTCCAATTGAAGTCATTAATCTCGCTTGAGTCAGCTGGCGAGCAGATAGCCAGGGCAATATCATACGTGTAACAGCAAGTCGAACGAGGCATGCATGCATTAAAGGATGCGATGCTTAATTAAAATAACTGAAGCAATCAGAGGCGTATAGAAGATATGCAAGATATCCAGTTGAACATTGTGCCAAATCCCGACTTATGAGACTGTAAATTGTTTTACCAAAGCAAGTAAACTTGAACTCTACCACAAACCAATCCACAGAACCCCAAATCAGCTTTTTAGTTAGTTAACTAAGATTAGGCTTATTGTAGAACCCAGGAGACAACAAAAACTTGAAGCGAGATTTTTTCAACATATTCTACATTTATAATTTCATAATAAAACACACGTCTAAACTAGCATCATTTCCCTATTACCTAGGCAGTAGTATATGTTAAGGCCCTTGCCGTCGCCGACAAAGCTAATCTTGTTGCTCAGCTTATTGAAAGCCACGTCCCAAAGGTTCGAATTGGTGGCACACACAAAGGACAGCGAACTCTTTGTTGTTCGGACGTCCCACACCTTGATAGAACCATCGGAGGCGCCGCTGACAAACCGCAAACCGTCTGGCGACGCAGCTACGGACATAACGTAGGCGTCGTGACCGGCTAAGCTTTCACGTAATCTTCCGCTGGGTAAATCTATGAGTTTGATAGTCTTGTCATCGCAGGCAGCCAACGCATGACGCATGCAGGGATCATATACCAGCCTTCGCATGGGCTTCTTATAGTTCCTGCGACGTAAAATCTGACCGGTGGCGCCATCGAGCAGTGTAAAGTTCCCTGCGTAATCGGTGGCGCCAACTAAACGCTGATCCCCGCTAATGGCCAGGCCCAACACGTTTTCGCAGCGATGTGTGTCATAATTATGCTGCAGCTTCCCGACGGACGTATCGTACTTATAAATGTGTCCACTGCCGGAGCCCGCATAGACGCAATCGTTGGTCCGACCAAAAGCTGTTGACCAAACGTTACTGACCTGACTGTGACTAACCCTGGGCAAACGCACGCCCCCCTCAAAACTTAGCAGCATCAGATTACCATCCAAAGACACGGCAGCTATGCAGCTGCTGTCCGGACTAAGCGCCACATTATGTATTCCAAGGCCGGGCAGCTGGTGGCTATATTCATGTGGGAACTTATTCTCTTCGCTGGGCGATATGTGGACGATACTCAACTGCGGCTTGATGCCGCCAGTAATAACAAATTCCTTTGGCCTTAGCTTGGCTACTGTGAGTTCGTCATCCTCTGAGCTATTATCATTCTGTTCTGGCATGATGAGGCCCCATGCACAGCACCACACTCTGTTTTCTGGCTCTTTTTCGATGCTGATTGTTTTTGTTGTTTCCATGTCTATTCTCTTGTTAGTTTTAATTGTTGACTGCCTTTCACTCTTAGCTAACGCCTGCCTAGATACTTCCCATAAACTCAAAATGCCTACCAATATACAAATCGGACATAACCGGAATTGCCACGCAAACGCCGTGCCCAGAAGGGACTCCCAGAGGAGACAGAAGGATTGAGCTTGGCATATTAAACAAAGTCTACGAAAATGTCAGCAGAACACAATAAGAGACAGCTCTATCTTACAAATGCGCAGTAAGGGATAATCGATAACTAGTCTTGAGCCAAGGAGCAAACAGACAGAAATTAGATCACTTTTCATTAATTGACTCCCTCAAGTTATCCTTCTCTGGAAATGCCATGTACACAACCACACTCTTCATATTTCAGGTGATCTCTAGTCATGCATATGTACTCACCTTATTTTTAAGTTCTTTTGTCCTGGTGTTTGTTGTGGTGGTAGCTTTGGAATTGATTTTAGTTTTGAATACAGCCAACATTTAACAGCAAATAACACTTGACTCTTTTAACATCGCTGTATTGGAGGCGCTGTTCACAGGTGGTGACCCACGTGAAGGTTGCAACTACTGCTGCTGCTGTTGTCCCACCACCTCGTCTCAACTGATAGCACTCAAGCGTGGAGAGCGTCGAATTTGTTGTAGTTTTTTTTTTGTATTTTTGCTGCTAGCTAGTCAACCAACCGTCAGCCCAAGCATTTTGTGTATTTTTTATGTAAATGCAAATTTCTGCAAAACAAAACAAAACAAAAAATTTCATTTCTGCATACAGTTGAACAAAACTGCGCCCGACGGTCATTCAACCGCAATGCAAACAGTCTCAAAAGAATTGCCACATTATATGGTGCTCCAAAAATGACATTTATTAGCTTTTGTTTTTGCTTAGCTCTTCCGTCTTGACTTACTTTGTCTTAAAAACAAAGGAAAACCATTTTAAACGGAAGCCATTTGCTACCGCCGTGGCTAGCTCAGTGGAGCACTGCGATCGGACTTTGAATGCCTGAGCCGGAGACGCCAGCAGCACACAGGCTCCACAGCATGGAGAGAAAGTGCTGCAAATTGTTATACAAAACGCCTTGACGCTTCGCGGATAGACTACCAATAGGTAAAAAGAACAATAACAACCAATTTCAATAGCAAAAAGAGCGCTCTAAGCAACAGTATTTGAGTAGGTCACAAAACTTAAATATTTATTTTATAAAAATATGTTGAGCTAAGCGATTACATTAAATCAATACCAAATCAACACTTTTTATCACTCCGAGTAGGAGATAGGGTACATCAATAGCCACCATACAACCGCGCTTTAGTAATATTAAATACATGGACTGGAATCTTCTTCAGTTTCCGTCTGATTTGCTTCGGACAGAAATCACCATTAAAGTTCATAAACAAGTTACCAACTGGGGATGCCATAAAAAGTGAGCGTGACTATAAGGAAAATAGCTAGAATAGAACTAGAGAGAACCGAAGAACCACACACCTTGTTAGGGCCACAATATAAAAGCATAATAATATAAGGCCTTCAAAGTAATTTACAAGACTTATCAGCCGACTCATAACAGCCTCGAGTTACATACCACCATAAAAACATGCTTTAATTGTTAAACACAAAATGTTTTGTTGGTGCAAAAAAGACAAAAACAAGTGCCTTAAATTGTAAACAACAAACGTAAAATTGAAAGAAAACATTTCGGAATCAGTGTATTGGCCAGCGACCTTTATCTGAACACAACTCCAACATAAAAGACGACTACAAAACGATATTGAAACTCTAAACAACAATCCAGTCCAATTACGATATAAGGCAATCAACGCGTTGCTGCTTCTTTTTGAATTTAATTATCGTATCTGTGTTGACATTAAGCAAAAGAGAAACACATAGTAGTTCGGGTCGAATCGAGGGAAAGGCGTTCGCTTCAATAGGAAATCGTAAAGCATTAGAGAAATATGTGGAGAATTAAATAAAATGGTCATCTAAGCTTCAATCTCAAGTATGTAATTTGTGACGTGATTCACCTATATCACAAATTCACTCACATGAGGCCAAATGATAGGGAAATGATTGAAAAACTGATGCCTGACTAGGAGACCCTGAACCTTCTTACAATAAAAACCAGAAATAGTAGGAAAATGGGACTTCTATATTAATTGTTATCGAATGTTAAGAAACTAGGGGCTAGAAGGATCTTCGTCCGTAGAGGTTCTTAGATCGACGTGTTCATACATACGGGCAGACGGACATGGCTAGATTTAATATCCGTTTCTGGTAAAAGGACTGTTTAAACAAACGAAAATCTAAGAGGAAGCCTATGATTTATTAATCCGCATTCATTAAATCCTCGTTTCGTTTATCATAAATTACTTGCGCGTTGTACCATGTAAATGTTTTATTAAATGTGGGCATGGCAACACTGCAATCTAAATTACCTGCAAATAGCTAAATAACCAAGGGCAAATCGATAGAAATAAAAAATTCAAGTAGAGTTAAAAAATCCCATTTGCAATGGCAGAACTACAGCACGGCAATTAGAGGTATTTTGTGAAACACGAACACAAATTCACAACATGCCGGGTTACCTATTTAACAAACTATAAAATTCGAATCTAGATCTTAATGGGTTCAAGGTATTAAAAATTAGTTAAGTATAGATATATAATAAATTGTCTTGACCAAGAGATGGCGCAACTATTCACTGGAGTCGAGAACTTATTTGACTTACTGCTTGGCAGCAGTTAACGGAATTCAACAAAAAACCTGACACTAATATGATTTCCTTTTTCAGCCAGAATTGCGCTTCCGTTGACTCGCAGTACTGAGCCTACTTACTGACGGAAAAAATCAGATTAACTGAGCTAAAAATGATAACCAAGATGGTCTAAAACGGGCCCTACTTTGTAATAAGTAGTTCAAATTTAAAAGCGAAAGGTTACCCAATCCATATCGAAATAAGAGATGATGCACTCTCTGTGTAACACAAAGTGAGAGCGTGACAGCATCAAACAAAATTATAAAGGAAAATCGCGTTTTAGCGTATCTATTACATTTTTACGCTCCGGGCAACAATCAATAATTTACAATTACAACAAAAGCAATGAAAAATAAGAAATAAATATTGATCTTCAATAAATCTGCTTGGTTATTTTGAAAAATAGATTTGTGATTTTTGTAAGATCATGAATTGCTATTATTAAGTGTATACGATAATTGCTACGACTGACAACGTTTAGGTCTAGAACTATTTTTCGAAACATCTTAGCTTAGCTGTGCTTCTGGGTAGTTGGCACCGATTTGAATCGAAAAATTGCAAACAGTAGCCCCATAATAGTCATGATGTCTGCTGAAGCGAAGATTTCCAAACGCAGCTATCAAACACTTGTCTTATCAACAGAGAGTTTACATATTTAAATTAAATATTAATTAATATATTAATTATTTATAAATATTAAATTAATTTTGCAGTTTTTGCTGCTTGTTTAGTAGCCTGTAAACAGCGAAATTCTACATAATGACAATATAATCAGTTTCTTATTATTTTCCATTTAATGCACCTTTAAACTCGAACCTGCACTTTTACTTCGTATTTATTTCATATTTAGTCGTAATATTCTGCAATATCGCACTGTCACTTTATGGATTATATTTATGAAGTTTAATAAATTAATAAGTGGTCATTCCTTTTAGAAATGATAAATCAATTTGTTCTAATGCTAATGTTTGTCAGATTTTCCCCAGATTCTTTTATGATGGGGTAAAATTATGATTCCAAATATTGATGTATTATAACACGTATTCCAAAATTGGGAATATAAAGTGGCTGAGGCCGATCGGACATACATCCAATGGCAAGTACGTGAGCAGAGAGTGCAAAGTTGAGTCAACCTTAAGCACACACTTTAGATTTTTTCTCTATGTTCTACTGTACTTAACAGAAGCTGCACTTTACTTTAAAGGAAATGGCAAGAAACACAAGCGAAAATGAAAAGCGAAAAGAAGCCAAGGAACAACCCTCAGAAATGCATTTTCAAAACGCATAGCGGAACGCTAGGATGCACAGCACAAAGAGAAAAGCGCATTATAAGCGTCGGCAAAGGCAGGGAAATCGAATAACGGAGCAAAAACGGTGGTTAGGTAGACAAAGACATTAACAGAACCCACTCACTCACTCTACATCCATTCACCCTTGCGCAACGGAATGTCAACGATTTTGTCATTATGTAAGTGGCGACGTTTCAGCCAAGTCTACCCCAACAAACCTGCTCTCCTGTACAGCCAAGTCTACCCCAACAAACCTGCTCTCATGTACAGCCTCTCTCTCTGCCCCATCTCTCTGCCCCATCTCTCTCTGCCCCATCTCTCTCTGCCCCATCTCTCTCTCCCCCCTCTCTCTCCCCCTCTCTCTCTCCCCTCTCTCTCTCTCCCCCTCTCTCTCTCCCCCTCTCTCTCTCTCCCCCTCTCTCTCTCTCCCCCCTCTCTCTCTCTCCCCCCTCTCTCTCTCTCCCCCTCTCTCTCTCTCCCCCCTCTCTCTCTCTCCCCCTCTCTCTCTCCCCCCTCTCTCTCCCCCCTCTCTCTCCCCCCTCTCTCTCTCCCCCCTCTCTCTCTCCCCCTCTCTCTCCACCCTCTCTCTCTCCCCCTCTCTCTCTCCCCCTCTCTCTCTCCCCCTCTCTCTCTCCCCCTCTCTCTCTCCCCCCTCTCCATCTCCCCCTCTCTCTCCCCACGTCTCTCTCCCCCTTCTCTCTCTCCCCCCTCTCTCTCGCTCCCTCTCTTTATTTTCCTCTCGCTCCCTCTCTTCGAATGTTGATTTAAAAATGGGAAATTCAATAAAGTAAAAGCTCAGAGCAACTTTCAAAGCTGAGCATCCTGTCATGCACTTTTCACCCTTTTAGGGGTTAATTTCGCACACACATGAATGCATGCTCATCATGGTTGGCTGCCAAATGGAGCTAATGAGCGCACAACTGAAATTGACTGACCTTCCAAATTTAACATAGCCAATTTACAAAAAAAATTACCAATTTATGGCCACAGCGCACAAACCATTACAAAAGGTTAATTAGGGCTAAACTGCAACGAATTAGCTTCTAAAGTGAAATAACGTTAATGATTTACTTCAAAATAAGATAAACAATCTCTTAATCCGCTCTTTGCACTTAAAGGGTACCCAAGATTATTTAGATACATATTGTTCTGTTAGGATATTATCTTTAGAGCCAGCATTGTGCAATTGCATTGTTGTTTGCCTCTTGTGTGTGGGCTCTGCGAATGGCGTGGCTGCGTTCAAGTAATGCCAAGTAGCATGCAGTTGGCACCTCATTCTTGGCAATTGCCAGTTGCTAGTTATTTCAACAGTTGCCACGTTTGCTGAATATTGCCTCAAAAGCAAGTAAATTTCGACAGACAAGTGAACAGGCAAATGTGTTGCCCAAATGCGGCAGCACATGGTTTGGCACTTGGAACAACCAACGCCCTGCCCCTGCTTTTGTTTTTTATATTACTTTTCCTTCAAATTATGTGCAGAATTCTTCGTTTAAATTAAGGCAATATTCGGTAATGGTAATTGGGATATTGTGGGATTACATACATTCACGGTATTATAATTCTATCAGCTGTCTCCCTCTTCAATAAGTATTAATAGTACCTATATAGTATATATAAAGCTTTAACATATATAAAAAAAAATATTAATGAATACTAAACTGCGAAAAGTGACACACTAAATTCGTACAACAGCATAAATATATAAAGTTGAGTTCCCCCACTTTTTGGGATTGAATTAAGATACATTTTCTTCAAGTCGCCGCAAGTCTATTATTAAAAAATATTTATAAAATACCAAAGACAACCCTAGACTTACATATGTACAGACGCAGACCCCATCCCAGAATTAACCTCAGATCCTCAGAAACTTGGGGTGAAGTAGAGAGAAGCTAATGGTAAAATCTAAGTGTCGAGTGTGCCCAACTAGAACATTTTCTGTACCCCTCAGTCAAACTAATTTATTAGATTTTAGCACCAATCTTTGAGCAAACAAAATATTAAAAATATAGCGCAACACACAAACTCTTGTTTATTGTAAATATAAATTTGTGGGGTCTGACATGTCTCCTTCTACATGGTACATACATATGTACATTTTCACAAAACTCCCTTTTAGGAACTTTCAATTAGTAGAGGGTAGACAAGACAGCAGCCGCTGCCGACATCGACGCTGTCACAACTGTTTCTACTTATGCACACAAAAGCGAAATAACACCAAGAGTAACATAGACGCAAAAGCAACTGAGACAAAGACTTAGAAAAGGAGGCAATGAAATTAATATCTGTAGTTTGTAACCAGAAATTCTCACTAAAAATAAACAAAGTGTTCTTATTGAGTGGAATTGACTAGGGAAAGAGCATCTTATTATGAAGTTTAAAGCATACAAACATATTTACATGCAATAACATACACATATGTGCACACATTTGTATATGTCGACTATCGAAACTAACAACAATGTGGCCTTCACTCATACAAACACACGCGCGCACACTTAGGCGACTGACTGCAATTTTGTTGCGGAAATAAAATGTAATTGAAGTCTCTGGTGCATATTTGCATAAATCGGGCCCAACAGAAAACACGATAAGCAAGCAGAGATGCGCGAACATCCATAAAAACAACGAAGCGAAAACAAATCATAATAAAAAGAAAACGGACAAAAGCCTTAGACAACAGCAAGAACAACAGCAAAAGCGAAAGCTAAAGATTGTCGGACTTTTATGTTTGTTTTTTTTTTTTTCGCAACTCTTTGTTGCTCTCTCAATCTCTTTCTCTCAGGCTATGTTGATCAACGGGCTCTCGATCTGACACAAGAGCGAGTCTTGATGTTGGGAGCATTGGTTGATGTTGTTTGACCAAATTCTGCACAAGTTAAACTAAAAACCAGTTATGGAAAAAGGAACAATGCTACATGTCCAAGTAACTGTAAATGCAATGTGTCAGCTTTTGGCCAGGTGTCCCAAGGCAGCCAGCAGCAAGCAGCTGTTCGATTGCCAAGAAAATATTGAATTGAAGGTGCATTTTGAATGCGTTGCTTGCTAATTTTGCTTCTGCGCAGTGTGACCAGTCGCTTGAGAATGAATAGAAGCGTCTAAGATGTCACTATACGATTTCTTGTCATTTGCTTTTAATTTTATTCGATTTACGCACCTATCACAGTTTTTTGTGCGGGGGAGCAACAACAGTAATTATAGTTGGTTGCACTGTAGAAATTCTTCGACACTCATACACACCCCAAATTTGTTTGTATGTATTCCTATGCAAAGTTCAACTCCGGCGCAGCAGCTCTCGCTCAATCTCTATCCACGCACATTCGACGCCACCTTTTTACATTTCATTTGTTTTTTTTTTTCGCAAAAGGAGTGGCGTCTACATTCACGGCTTAGCTTTTGCTTCTTGGCATTTACATTTATAGATGTACTCGTGCCCATGCACAATGCATAATTATTTTGTAGAACTTTTTCTTTTCGACATGTTTATTTGCATATATTTAACTCTTTTTGCGTATTCTTTTTACCCGCTCTTTTTCAGATCTGAGAACAGTTATGTATGCATGAAATTATGTGATTTAAAATTAAGGTTCAAAATGAATCGAAGAGATTACTAGTATTGATATAATAAATTATATCGGATCGGCTTTAATTTACTATTTTGTCTTTTTTTTTGTATCCGTAGGAACGCGTGTAGGTGTGTCGTTTAAGCAAATACTTTTTCCAACTGTATTGCGCAGCTCGCTGGGAGCCCCTTAACAGGAAGTAGGTCTCCCTTAATTTCACAAGCACACAAATATATTGGTTTGTTAAATAAGATTTTTGCACTTCCTTATCAAGAAATTTTAACAAATCGGAGCGCTCTTTAAATACACGTCCGTCGCGGCAATATAAAAATGTTTGCATGAACAAAGAAAACTTTACTCCCGTCCAAATCACTTTAGATTATCACGCGCCGACGACTCGTTCACAACTAACTGTATCTATGCAAACTCATTCAAAATGGATATACACGAGTGTAAAAATGAGCAGAGAGCGAGAGACTTAACATTCGATTAACAGAAGTAAACAGCAGGGAGAGCCAGCCATGAGAGAGTAGAATACTTTTATAAATGTACAAATTTCATCAGAAAAATAAATAAAATAACGACAGCAACAGAATAAAAATGTCGCTCATTGTCGTAGTATTTACAGGAGTATATTTTGATTATTTAAATATATTTCCTGCAGACAAATAACATGTTAACAGCAGTGCAAAATCTGTAAGGCTCAAAAAGGCACTGTTAACTTAGATAATATGAATGCATGAATTTAATCTAGTTCACTGGTGAACATCCATATTTAAAGCAATATCCATTCGCCTAAAGATGAGAAACATATTTTTGTTAATCATTCTATACTGCACAACGCTTGCAGCTAAGTCAAAAACTTGTGATCACTTGTTACGCGAACTGGCAAACGATCAGCAAAATTTCGTTTACTGCAACACAGCGCATGCCGTTCCAGCCCATCCTCAGGATGAACGCCTTTGCATTGCATGCAATCAACGGTATAGCAATATGGCGAGTAGTTACGATACGCTGATGACAAATGAAAATTGTTCCAAAATTTACATGGATTCCGATCGAATGAATATTGTATTTACAACACAGAACGTACTTAAGGGACTCTGGAACCGAGCCTATTGTGAAGGTTAGTCTGACGAATCTGAATGTGACTCACATTAAAAAATCGTATTCTTATTTATGTAGAATGCTTCAAAGGCAATAACTCAGATATCTTTCAAGACCTGTACCTGAATCTCTCGGGCTGCTTAGAGGAGAACAAAGGCAGCGAGTGCAGCAGTTGTCTACTTAAATACATAACAATAAACGATTTCTATAAGGACTTAGACCAGAAAAACAATGGCAAAGTTTGCTTTGATATGCAGGACGTGGTATGTAGTGGCCCAACTTGCTTTGCTTGCATTGCCAACATCATTTTCTTTTTCAGATGAATCGCACCCGCGTGCTTTGGTCCAAGGACCTTAAATGCTGCCAGCGTGAGGTAAAAATGACAGCATTCCTTACCAGCGTTGCAATCGTGGCCGTGCTGCCCATTCTTCTGTTCTACAGCGCCGCCTTTGTGTTAACCAAACGGCGAGAGGCCAATCACGGGTTGCTCAACGAGCAAGAGCCAGAACTGGATGCGCCATCCTCGTCAGATATCATTACTGCTGCTATCCTGTCGACGCCCCCAGAGCCGCCAGCTGTATTAGACGCGAAGACTGATAAAATTTCCAAATTATTGGCAATCCCTGATTCCGATTTTTCCAGCGATGATGAGCCATTCGCAAATGCAAAAACTAAATAAGTCCCTTAATGGGAAACTCGCCATGTCATATATATCATACAAAATTCCCTCTATTTTTATAAATGTCTACGTATGTGATAATATACCTTATAAATTGTTATAATCTATGCTAATTTATGGGATGTAGCATATTGTGAAACTATCTCAAATATAAAAAAAAAAGAATTTGGTAAAAATAATGGAGAATCTCTTTAACACTTAACATACTCTTAAGTATTTACAATTAACAGTGAATATATACAGATTGTTCTTAAACAAGTGTACCCAAGTATTGTATATCAAAATCACTTTCAGCCAAGCCCAATGAAAAGTTTATTTCGGGATAGGAATAATTTCTTGCTGTGGGATGTGCCTGTTCTTTGCGATCTCGAAAGCAACTATCTGCTGCTGTATATGTATTATTCGGCAATGTATTATATAAAGATTCAAAATTGTCAACTGTGAAGAACATTTGTTTCTTTAACATTTTGGTATCCGTACAATCTTGCTTGTTCGAGTTATTTTTAATCAAGGTGATATTTACATTGACGGAATCCTTCTCCTGTAAGTCTCGTATGAATTGCTGTGCATTACATTTTAAAGCTAAATTTGTTGAACAGACTGGAGAATTTTGATCGATTTCCTGGGTTGCATCCGCAAAAGCTCCAAATTCATGTTCCAAACTTTCTAAGACGCCCAATTTGGCTTTCAACTGTTCATTGGCTATTAACAATTGACGCTCTACCCTATATATATCGTTTACCTGGTTGGCCAAGTCCATATCCAATCTATCTATTTGACGCAAAACATCTTGTTTTGTGTGGTAGACGCATCGCATCTGGTGCTTTCGAACCTTCGCATGTAAACACAGCAGCTGCTCCTCCTGTCCCTGCAGCAGTACATTTTGGACATGTACTTTTTCTAGCCAATAATAAATTTCTTTATCACAAGAAAGATTTAACCCTACCTCCTTTGAGCTCGGCCAATCGAGTCCATTAACCTCGCCTGGAAATTTACATTATAAAGAATAATACTGAGGTCTTATTGTAAATGTAGTTCCCTACCAGACGAACATTGCGCAGGCTGGGGCTTATCCACGTTCGAATCCAGCACTTTTTGTCGTTGATCATCAAAATCATGTGCATTAAGTCTCTTATTTGGTATGTTATCTGCTGAATTTAAGTATACATCGAGCATATAATTCTTACCCAACTCAAGTTCACGTTTTTGATGATTTTCATATTCAATCTTTAAAATTTGCTGTTCCTTTTGACTAAATAAATAAGTATATATAATAATATAATAGTATATATAATAATATAACAAAATAAGAAGGACTTACTTCAACAAATATATTTGCCTATTTATGATATTCATTAGGCGCTCATTTGGATTCAACTCGAAAGGCTGTACTTGATATTTACTGCGCTTTAGTAGAGCTGCACCTCCCCGAAAAGGAGTATTGCCTGTAACTCCGGCTATTCCAGTTTTTTGTTTGCCCCGCCGTCTCCGATATTTATTACTTCGGGAACTGCCCATTGGGCTGCCCATGCCACTATCCTTATCGGTTGACATTGATAGCATTGAGAACATTTGGTTTTGCTTCTGGTTATAGACGCGCGGCGATGTCTGCAATGGCGTCCTCCCAAGATATCTTAACTGGAGCTCACACTGTTGCGAGAGGTACATTAAATACAAGATCAATTTTTTTGTTGTAACCAACCTGATTCTTTGATGGGGTATCGCTTGTCGGTATGACATCCAATAGACGAGAGCTTCCATCTAAATATTCCTCAAATCGACAGTTCGGCAATTGCTTTACAATCACGTATGTGTTAGGGTTAGTATCTTTGCTTTTAAAAGTGTGCTTCTTGTCTTTGGTATTTGTTGTTGGTGAATTATGGTTGGTGACTTGGCTGGATGTATCTTTTTTGGATTTATTATATGGTTGTGCATGTCCATCTGATCGCATTTGTTGGACATCTTGATAATGCAGCAGAGCAATGATCAGATCCGTGCATGTGGTATTTAAATCAATACCAGAGACCCAATGCTTCTCCCCATCAATCGTGATTAGCACATCATTCGCTAAGATTTCCATTGAATCACCTGAATCAGAACTTCTATGGACGTCACCATTGTGCCAAATGACTTTGTGGTGATCCGACAAATTTGCGAAGTTGGAAGTACCCACTGTTATAGACGCTTTCTTCAATGGGGTTGTGTCTTGCTCCAACATTATCGCTGGCACTAAAGTGAGTTAGAAAAGAAAACAAAGTAATCCATTTTTCTTGAAGTTTAAATATGATATTTGTCTACTTATATTAAACTGTTTGTCCTGATTTATTGACTGACAGACTAGTGAACTTTATTTACAACTCACTGTTCAATCCAATTATACATAATAATGTGCTAACACTCCCCCGTTGCGGAGGAAAATTATTATTATGATGAATGAAATAATGAAGATTTTTTTTGGTCGATATAAATATATGCATGCATGAATATGTTTGTGTGCATGCTGCATATATATGTGTGCATGTTTGTTTCTATATATACATACAAACATACATACACATATACTTACATACATACTTATACACATTCAAACAAACTAACATACATGCATACATATATATATATATATATATCATACCCTGCAGAGCCTACTTGAAATTTTGAGAATCGAGAAGAAGGACACTTGGCAGAAATTCGTTTTATTTAAATTAGCAGCACCGCGTCAAAGGAGCTTGGTCTGCGTTTGGTATTAGACAACTTGCATAAATGCATGCATACATGCATGCGTATACTAACACACACACAGCCACACACACACACACACGCAGACGAACACACACCCAGGCACACACACACCCAGACACACACACGCAGACACACACACACCCAGGCACACACACACACCCAGCCACACAAAAGCAGACACACACACTCATACATACTTACACACACATATATGATACTTTCATCTCTTCGTATAAAATACTTGTAATATTGTATATTATGCAAAACTTATTTGAGATTTTCGACAGTGAAATATCACTCAACAAACTTGCTTTTGTAATAGTTTAAATTACGTCGACGTATTAAAATTTCAGGTGTAAAAAAATAACAAAAAAGGCACGATAAAAGGGTAAATTCGTTGGATTCTTATGTGTATCACAAGTACAGTTTCCGCTAGTCGGGACTGCCCGACTACCCGGACCCCGCGCCGAGCTGCCGTCATAAACAATCTATCTTATGCAACTATTAAACTGTTTTAGCCATTTTCATTGAGTTTCCTGTACAAAATAATGCAGTTCGGATAAAAATACTTCTGTATTCCTGGATTAAATTGTTATTGATATAACGCTTACGAAAATGTAACGATGGAGGATATGAACAAATTTTTACGCAATATGTATTAAAATATGACAACCTATATGAAGTTTTGTTCCGACTTTTCCATTATAATGCCCTTCTTACAAATATAATTGGATACTGGGAACAAATATACAAAAACTGGTATTGGCTATATGTTAGGCCTGAGCAGAATTACAAATTCCAGACACCACGGCATTTATGCATTTTGGCATACGGCGGCTCTTTGGTAGCCAGACAGCAGGTTTACCACACCCAAATTGGAGTTTGTTTGGCATTTAAAATGGAAACACTACTTGACCAATCTACCACATGCATAATACAAACTTATATTAGGTCTTGCAATAACCAGCTCTAATGCGTTTCTCAGGCATTTCAAGACAACAATGTTCTAGGTAAAGAAAAATCTAAACTTCATCACAGCCATTTATAATTGTTAATTATGTTGAATTGTTGCCACCAGGTTCGTGCGTGTAGAATTTGCTTTAGATAAGTTGGCAACGACAGAAATTCGCACTGAATCGTATCAAAGTACGCTTGTAGCTAGCTTTGGCTCCAACAAAATAAAACATTTTCCAAATTATTTTTAACTTTGACACACGTTTGCTTTGAAAAACATTTTAACTAGAGCTGAACCCGGCTCTGCAGCAAGGTATTACATTTACATAAAAACGATCATTTTAACGGTTCTTTTGCTTACACACAAGTAAACGAACCAAAAGGAGTATTGTTAAAGTTATTTTTTGTCACGGTTTATTGTCGTTTAACATTCTATTTAAATTAATTTTACTCCAATATAAGTAATATAATTGCAGTATATAGTTATAGTTTTTATGAGTGTATTTTTTTTTTCAATACTGAAACTTTGTGAACATACATCGCGCTGGGCTTTTTCGATTTTTTCCAATGTACACCTGCTGCTGGCTAGCCGTCCAACCAACTGTCTTGTCGTCGTCTCTACAACTAAAGGCAAAATCGGAAACCAAAAGAAAAAGCTTTCAAGTGTCATGTTTGGCTTGAAGAGAAACTGCTCTCTAGCTAAAGAGCTTCAAAACCAGCCGAGCGCGCAACCAATTGACGCATTAATTATATACATACACACATACACATACCTGGCCCAAAGCATACTTCGACTGATAGGTAGGCAGGTAGGCCAGCTGAGCTGATTGTGTGCAGCATTCACACAATTAAAACCATTCATTCCAAAATTTGTGTATTTCTGCTCTCTTTGCTCATACCGTCTCGTCGAAGCTCAGTTTTGTAGTTGTTTAACGTAACTGATCTTGGATCGTCCCCTCATCACCTCAGTCTATTTTCTACCGTTTTAGTTGCCAATTGTTTGCTTGCTGCTTTGAAAACGAGTTCTGCGTTAGCTTACACATGCTGCAACATATTATGAAACTACAGATTCGGTTGGATAAATAATAATCGCTTCCATGGGAATTTTCTCTCAATGTATACAGCATGAAAACAAAAATTTGCCGAATTTAACTATTATTGTTTCAAATATAAAAAAAAAATATTTAACATTTTGCTTTCTGTTCATAACGATTTTTTTTTTCATTTTTAATCAATTGGTAATGGTTAAATTGAACTTTAGAATTGTGTTTCAACCAAATTATTTTTACCTGAATTAGAATTAATAAATCTTTTAGACTTAAGAAGAAAATAAGTTTTCGGACTGATTCAAACCCAGAAACTTATATAATAATACAAAATATATAATATGAACATAAGGTGATGCAAAAATTCACCATACCTTGACTTCTCTTGCTAGAGACAAGAGTATGTTACCTCTCTCTGAGTGATCCAAACGAGCTTCAAACCTGTATTTTGCTTCAGCTTCAACGCTTCACACATTTATAAGCCTGAATGTAGTATATTACTGAAAAATATATATAAAGATGTGAGAATGAAAGATATTTCTAGCGTCACTCAATCACGAAAAAATTTCCAAAAATTTCTTATTTAACTATTATTAAATAATATAAATAAAAAAAAATATAAAAAGAGATTAATTGCAGTTAATAATAGTTAATAAATGAGGTAGATTCACTTATATATTGTGAAAAAATCGATAATTTTAAGAGGTAACCAAACAATTATCAATCATTTTCTTGTTTTTTTTTTTTTTTTGTTATTTTATACATCGGCTTGTAATAATATCTACAGTATGACTTCATAAAATATTAATGTAAACATTTTTAAACCATCTTGAGAAATTGAAAATTTACTTCTCACCTTCAGTATAACTTTCCGTCTACCCTCAAGAGCAAACACGACTGTAGCCCACCTCTACAAATTATTCCGAGTCAACCAAGCTTGCTGAAAAGCGTAATAACTTTAGTTGTTAAACAATCGTCAGCGCGCGCTGTTTACTCGTTGTAAGGGCCTCAAAGCGCATGCTCAGCTGAGATAGTTTAAAAAAATAAGAAGGGAAAAAAAAAGAGAGCAGAAATCAGTAACAGCGCTACGTATGAGTCTCGAAATAAACGTCACTAAGTGTATTTGAGTATTAAATACAATTACCTTGACGTCGCACCCACGTTTTTAAGCCACAAACGGATTTGACAAACGAATTATACATGTGCATATATATATTATTGTGTGCGTGTGTGTATGTGGGGTGTTTTATGAAGCTCTTTTTAAAGAGGGGAAACGCTGTGATTGGCATGATTTTTGCATCGTTTAATGACAATTACGCTATTTTTTCTCTGTGACTAGCTAAGCGCATTGAACTGTCCCCAGCGGACGTTGAAACTTTTTTCATGTTTCGAGCTCATAAAATATATATGTTTTATTTTTTTATTAGCCAAATATTTGTGTGGGAGGAATAGCTGCAACTTTTAATGATCCATATACATTTGAAGCTATACTATATGGCAACAATTTAATGCTTACCTTTTCGACAACAGGTATTCCAAGGCCATTCCAAATAAACAAATCGGAAAACGTTCAGCTTTAAAGCGAATATGCCGCGAAAACTACTAAAATTTCTCATTATCTTCGATAATACTTCACTACTGTACTTCCCGGGCCAATTTCTTTCCGGGCGTGTACTTATAGAGCTGCAAGACGAAACACCAGCTCTGGGTCTACATTTTCATGTAGTTGGAGAGGGTGTTGTGCGGGCTGGAGGTCGACAAGAACGCACATACGACAAAGAAAATTACATTGATTTCCGTATGCGTCTGCTCGGCGATGTAGATCAAGGCCCAGCGATACTATCACCAGGCATTCATAGTTTTCCCTTTAAATTGGGTCTCCCAGTCGGATTGCCGTCCACATTCCTTGGCAGTTTCGGTTGGATACAATATTTCTGCACAGCAGCTCTTCGCGAACCCAAAGGACTGACTCATAAAAATCACCAGGTTTTTATTGTTATGAGCCCCATTGATTTGAACCTGGAGAAGCCTATCTTATCGGTAGTTATACCATTAACTGTTTGCGAAACATTTTTATATTAGTATTAATTTTTTATAGCAACCCTTTACCTGTGAGGTCGAACACAAACTGGGTGTTGTTGCCTGTGTCGGTGGCGGCCAAATCAAATGTCGTGTCGTTTTGGATCGTGGCGGATACGTACCCGGCGAGAATATACTCGTCACCGCATTTATATCCAACGCTAGCAACGTGACCATCAAACGAACCAAGGCGTCGCTTACTGAGGTAATCTCTGACTTATAGAAAGTTATAGCTTAAATAAAAATGTTGTGTATTGTAGACCATTGAGTACTTAGCACGAGGCAAAACAGTTCAATCAGAGAAGCGCGCATTGGCTGTATTGGTACGTGGTAAAATACGTCCTGGTGGCAAGGACGAATGGCACAATGACAGCCTTTATGTGCCACCGTTGCCGCCAACAAATCTGCAAGGCTGTCATTTGATCAAAATTACCTACGATGTTTTTTTTGTCATCGAACCAAAGTCTCTGGAAAAGGAAATCAAATTGCAACTGCCAATTGTTTTGGCTACATATCCATTTCGAAATAATACCAATGATGTTTCTAACACATGGCCTGAATCCGTACTGAAGCCGGACACACACTATCCATCGACGTTGCCCATATTTCGCCCATGGCTGCATGAAAAACCGAATGCGTAACCTCCATGATTGTCACTCGACATGATACAAAAAATTGTTGTATTAATATTTACGCCATACATTAACTAATACTTATTTAACTATTTATAACTTGTAACGCTTCAAGTATGAAAAACAAAAATTATGAAAACTAACTTTCCACTTGTTTCTTTTCGATGTGAGCATTTTATGTTGCGCCTGTGGAATTTAAGTGGCATTACAGAGATATATATAGATATAAGTAAGCTTGATTTACTTGTACCTACATATGTATCAAAACAAATGCATATGTGAGTTTATTTACATCTTATTTTGAGCTGTACATAGGCAAAACTACTGAGATTGTTATTAATAATTTTCTTCACATTAAATTGAACTTAAATCTGCTCGATATTAAAAACGAAATCCATTTTTGTTATATATAATAAAAGAATACTACTACTTATATTAGCTTCAGTTAATTATGTATATATAATATATACTTATATATATGTATATACACAGTAATATGTATATCAGAGCGGATACACTCTACGTATGTATGTTTTGTTGTAGTGAAAGAATTTAGTTTATTTTACCTATGTGAAAATCATAATTTTTGTTTTTAATAATGATTTTGTTAAACCCAGCTTAATCCAGTGTAACTTTTTCCAATTGTACCAACAATCAATGTTTCGCTTATATGTGTTTCAATTGCCTTGACCAACAATATTTTCTCGAAAACTTTTGATCTTTTGCACAAAGAACGATTCAAGTGCTTCAGCGCACTTATAGAATGAGGACTCCTTTGGGTTATAATAGCGGCAGTTATCAAATATTTTTGTCATATCGCCAATGAATTCAGCGAGCTTAGTGTAGGTGTTTGATTCGAGTTTGTTTTCCATCTGCTTGAGATCTGTGAAAAATATAAACAACTTTTTTATGAAAACGATTTCAATTATTGTAGCAATTTGCAATATACCCATCGGCTCCTTTATCACTTTATAATAGTCCGGCGCCTCTTCCGGATCAACCGGTTCCATAAATGGCCAGGCACTTTTATGGGACTGCAATAAGAGTATTTCTTCTACATAAGAACCAATTTGTATTTTATATTAATCGATTGGCTACCTGTATTTGCTTAATCAAGCTTTTGAGTTCAATAACTTCATTTTGCGTTAGACTTTTTATATTTGCGGTGTTTACGTCCGAATTTCTCTGACATTCTGGGCAGACATACTCATCAATGTACTCAGCCTCGCTCTGGACGATACCTACGCAACGACCATGGAACCAGTCCTGGCATTTATCACAGCAAATATAAAATTGTGACTCATCGTAGGGCTGACGACAGCTACAATAAAGCTGTTGAGTTTCACGCGCTTTCTGACAATCGGTACAAATGAATTCAGTTAGTTTTTTAGACGCCTCTTCGGTAATGTTGACACAGTCACCATGGAACCAATTGCTGCACAAGTCGCAGCCAACATAAAACCTACAAGAAGAAGGTATGCTTAAGTCAAGTCCGGAAGTGGTTTAAATGTGGACTTACTTAGTGTCATCATAGGGCTTACGGCATATACAATATAACTTCTCCCTTTTCCTAGTCATCTTCTTAGGCCGACCAACAGCGTGTCTGTTATGCAGCGTAGGTGGCTCCGTTCCAAGACTGCGGCCCATAGATGGTTTGGAGTGACTGCAATTTAATGTAAATGTTATGTCCCGTTCAAATTATTTAGATTTCTACTTACCGCTTGTGTTCATTATTCTGATCCATCAGTCGTTCAGTAAACACTGAAGTACACTCGTTTTCAGTTGTGTTCTCTGGTGTCGTTGTGCTCATGGCGCGCACGTGTCGCTTGACTTTGGCCTCCACTTCCTCACGGATTTCATTTTGCAAATTGCGTTCCAACAGGGATCGTTTGCGTAAGATGGTTTTCTTAAGCAAATCTTTATGGCGCTCCAATTGCGTATGCTTTGGTTCACTTATATTTGCTGCATCCTCCATTGGCAGATTCTTACGATTATTTTTAACTGCGCTATTGTGGTTACCACCGAGTAAACCATGATGACGCTTCGATGGAGTACGTATTTTCCACTCATCATCATCGGTATTATTATGACGTGACGTTGTGCGTCGACGATTAGAAGTGCTGGCACCTTCAACTATGGAATTTGATCTGTTCGTTGATGGCGTCCATTCGCCCAGGTTCTGAGAATTTTGTTGCTCCTGCTTCATACGCATGTTGACCAATTTCTCTTTAAGCTCGGGACTCAGATTACCTTGGTTTAGTACATTTGTAATAGCTGTAATTATAAATAATATCGATTTATTACACACATGAAATTTATTATATATTAAGGATTCTGCCTACTTTCTTGTATATAGCCGCTAGTGACGACAAAATTTTCCGTTTGCTCATTCTCAACGCCTTGTATCAAGGATGTGGCACAGAGATCTGTTGCTGCTACTAAGGAATAATCTACGTTTTCCTGCGACCCAGTTGTTCCAGATGCGTTGAAGTTGTTGTTGTGTGAGGTGCTATTATGCTTATCAGCTTGGGCAAGGCTACTGGGCTTGACGTCAATACCGCTGCTGCTGTTGCCGGTGGCACATGTGCTGTTTGTAGCGGGGCAATTGTCGTTTGGGGCAGTCTCCTCATTATTAGGTGTAGGCGCGGTGGCGTCGTTGTCGGTATTGTTGCTGGTCTTATCGTTGGTCTGCAATATATATCGATTGACGGCTTTAGCAATATCAAATTCATATAGTTGCTGAATATGATCATGACTAGCTTTAACATTAACTATAGGTAGCTCCTGAGGTGGCACATTCCGTTCTTCTTCTGTCTTAATACTAACTTCATTATTGCATGCATCATCATTTGTACTAACACTATCTTGATATTGGTTCACCTCCTCTGTAGTTGTTTCGATTATAGTTTCAGCTGTTAGTGGTGTAAAAGGCACCGATTTTTCCTTTGTACGAGGCGGGCTGCATACAACAATAATTTCATCATCATCATCATTATTATCATGTTTAGATTCACCGCCATCTTGTACTAAATAATTTGAGCTTACAACATATACAATTGAGATGCCACCAACCTATTTGTTTTTTTTTTTTTGTAGGAAGTGACCAATAACATTATTCACATAATATTTATTAAATCATTAATTCGTTATTCTCTATAAAAAAATTGTATATACAGTACTTAAATAATGTTTAATGGTAGATATGATGATCACCTACCTGGCTTTAATCAGAGATCAGTTGTAGTATTTATTCCAGGCAACCTTTTACGATTTTGTTATGGTTTGTAGTTTGTGGTTGAGATGTTGTAGTAGTTGTTTGACGAAGAGATTAACACGTGATTTTTTGGGAGTTGTAGTTGTTGACACACGGATTTTTAGGCAATTCGTTTATTACGTTTGGATTTTATAAGTATTGGCAGCATGGATTTCATTTTAAAGGGTATTCGAAATTAATTTTTAATGTTACAAAGTTAGTTCTTTAAAAAGATTTGATTTTGTAAAGCTTGCTTTTAAAATATGTATAATGAAAATTGCGGCAAATATGTTTTAACGTCTTTTTGTGTATTTTGTGAACGAGTTGTGATTGTTTGATGCGTGTGTATGTGTGTGAAACTCAGGTATTTCATTAATCGCTTAGATAGTTTTTTAACAAGTGTAAAAATTTATTTCGATTTAGATGAGATGATTACAAATATGGTTAAGCCTTTGTGTTTTTTTCTTCTTACAAAAACTAGCTTACATGCGCTTACGCGGGGCGGAGGGGGCAATTTGGAACGGAGTAATTCGTCGTTTAGTTTGCCATGTGATATTATGGACCAGCACTGCCTCCGATTTATAAATATTTAATAAGTCAGCCAACTAAAACTCTGTGTGTGGGTTAATCTCTTCAGCAATATTTTTTATATATATTAATTGTTCATGTTTTCATTTGATTTTTCTTACGATTTTTTTAAAGCAATTCTAAATTTGGCCATGGAAAAACAACAAATTTTGTTCGGTCTATTAGTTATGTACTCTAATTCAACTGATTTCTGATTAAAGTCATATATGTTATTTGTTTAACATATGTAAATCGATTTTCATATATTTAGCATACATTGGATTACAGCGATTTCTTTTCATACATACACACATGTGCAGAATATGTATATGTATGTACATACATTATATAGTTATAGAAAGCGAGCGCTTTTTGTCAACACAAAGGCCAATTTGCAAATAATCATCCAACTAACTCAGAAACAAAAATTTACGCACCAGTTTCAATACAGTGTGCATATTCTCATGGTTTATATAAAACTAAAGGAAACATGGGGCTTTAAAAATGGAGTATATATGCGTAAAAAGTCAAAGCCTCAGAAATACGTTTAAATGAAATAGAAACACGCGTTTTTATTTTTTGAGAAATTCAAGTAAATTTTTTTTAGTGTGTGGAGAAAAGTGTATAAGACTAATGTAGTTATTTAACTAACACACCTCGAGTAAACAATTAGGCGACAGTTCTGCTGCAATTTTTGTTCCTTATATATTTATAATGAATATTTGGTTTTGTCTTTAAATAACTTGTTTCCAAAATTTTACAGTTTAATATACTCAAATTTGATATTTGCAAAACTTGTTTATCTATATTTTTAATGCATTAATTAAATTGAAAATAACGAATTTAATAAGTTGAAAATAATATAAAAATAATTTATTCTATTTTTCTGTTCCCATTATTTAATATTTACGATTACTATGCGATTTTAAAAGTTGTATATGTATTTAATTTTTATTAGTTTTTTTTTTTATTTATTTATTTTTTCTTTTTTGTATCTCAGAAGCATCTATCAATATAAGAAGTGAGAATTAATAAATGTAAACCTATATAATTAATATGGTCTGCGCTTGAGTATATTGTATGAAAAGAAACAGGGTTGGTAATCGTTATTTTGTATATTTCATACATATTTTTATTGCAAAAAGCGCTTTACATACATTACAAGTAACATAGACAATAGAGATAGAGTTAAAACCAAATGAAACTAGGCAAGAAAATTCTATACGCATGCAGCGTCTTGTCTAATACTTTTGCCCTGGTCGCTAAAATTACGTCACAGTCTGTTTAATTGCTCGCTAAAAAATTAAATACGTTATAGGTAAAACTCATTTGAAATGCTATGTGCTCAACCAATAATATATGTTTTATCTTCTATCATGTTTTTGTTTTCTTAATATTATCGATAAGTTTTAAACTGGCATTACATTAAATTTACATCGCTAATTGTATAAATATAATAAAATAACTTAATGAAAGGAATTAAATAAATACGTTTAATTAATCATAATCAATTTTCAAAAATGCACTTTATAGAATATTCACCAACTGCATCTAATTTTTAATGAGTCTGTCT